TTTGTTTTGTGGTAATAAGCATTTTGTATAAGTTTGATAACATTTGGTTGAGGCAAACTAAAGTTAGAGAACGGAAACGAAAAATTCAGCAATTTTTCCACTTGTAAAGGGGCATAACTCTAGAACGGTAAAAGTGACGCCACCAAAATTCAAACTTGATCTGTGTTTTGTGGTTATAAGCATTGTGTATAAGTTTCATAGCATTTGGTTGAGGCAAACTAAAATAAGAGAACGGAAACGAAAATTCGGCAATCATAGTTTGCCATTTGTAAAGGGGCATAACTCTAGAACGTTTATAGTGACGCCACCAAAATTCAAACTTGATCTGTGTTTTGTGATAATAAGCAATGTGTATAAGTTTGATAACATTTGGTTGAGGCAAACTAAAGTTAGAGAATGGAAACGATAAATTCAGCAATTTTCCATTTGTAAAGAGGCATAACTCTAGAACGTTTAAAGTGACGCCTCCAAAATTCAAACTTGATCTTTGTTTTGTGGTAATAAGCATTATGTATAAGTTTGATAACATTTGGCTGAGGCAAACTAAAGTTAGAGAACGGAAATGAAAAATTCAGCAATTTTTATGTTTATTAAGGGAGACAACTCAAGAATGGTCAAAGTGTTGCCACCAAATTTCGTACTTAATCTGTATTATGTAGTAATAAGCATTGTGTATAAGTTTCATATCATTTGGTTGAGACACTAAAGTTAGAAAACGGAAACAAAAAATTTGTACTTGATCTTAGTTTTGTGGTAATGAATATTGTGTATAGGTTTTATAATGTTTGGTTGGGGCAAACTTAAGTTACAGAATGGAAACTAAAAATTTTGCAATCTTCCGTCTTATAAAGGGGCATAACTCAATAATGGTTAAAGTGACACTACCCAAATTCAACTTGATCTGTGTTTTATCAGTGGAAGTCAAAATTAAAAATTGCATTGTATAAAGCATTGAATGTAGATGATTCAATTATAATCATGGACAAAGGAAGATAACTCCAATTTTAATAAAAATTACTTGATATTTAGAAGAAAATAATTTTTTTGCAATTTTTCCATTTATAAAGTGGCATAACTCTAGAACGTTTAAAGTGACGCCAACAAAATTCAAACTTGATCTGTGTTTTGTGGTAATAAGCATTTTGTATAAGTTTCATAACATTTGGTTGAGGCAAACTAAAATTAGAGAACGGAAACGAAAAATTCGGCAATCATAGTTCGCCATTTGTAAAGGGGCATAACTCTAGAACGTTTAAAGTGACGCCACCAAAATTCAAACTTGATCTGTGTTTTGTGATAATAAGCAATGTGTATAAGTTTCATAACATTTGGTTGAGGCAAACTAAAGTTAGAGAATGGAAACGATAAATTCAGCAATTTTCCATTTGTAAAGAGGCATAACTCTAGAACGGTAAAAGTGACGCCATCAAAATTCAAACTTGATCTGTGTTTTGTGGTAATAAGCATTATGTATAAGTTTCATAACAATTTGGTTGAGGCAAACTAAAGTTAGAGAACGGAAACCAATTTTGGGACGTACGTACGGACAAGGGTAAAACTTAATGCCCCCTCCGCTACGGCGGGGGCATAAAACCATACAAGACTAACAAAGGCCAGAGGCCCCTTGTCTTGGGACAGGAGCAAACATGCGGCGGGGTTAAACATGTTTTGTGAGATCTCAACCCTCCCCCTATACCACTAGCAAATGTAGAATAAACAAACACACAGCAATATGCACAGTAAAACTCAGTTTAAAAGAAGTCCGAGTCCGATGTCAGAATAGGTAACATGCAAAAGAAACTAAGCAATATGACTGATACATAAATTAACAATGGACTACTAGCAGTTACTGACATGCCAGCTCCAGACCTCAATTAAACTGAATGAAAGATTATGTCTTCATTATATGAAAATCAAGCACAATCCCTCCCGTTAGGGATTTAGTATCATACCAAACTAAAATATATGAGAAGAACATAACCCGTATCATGCCAACAACTGGTTTCAGAATAAATGGGTTTATTTGCGATGCAAAGACCCTATGAGTGAATCAATATTAATACCAAAATATGCCATATTTAATGACCTGACAACAGTATCGTAACTATATCCCTTCTGAATAATATTAAGTCAGAGTTCGAATCTACTGTGAATTCTATTAAGTTTACTATTTTTAAAGCCATTCATTGCTGAAATACGATATGTCTGGCTTGCATTTTTATGTTACACCGGACTATCTATGAAAATTAATTATTTCAGGTGTCCATCAACGAAATAAAAAGGTGAGAAAATTAGATAAAGTTAAAATAGTCAGTAGAACGACAGATTTGCTTTTTTAACTATCTTCATAAAGTTTTAAATCTTTTATCGATTGATTGTTTTACCCCACATCTCCTTTTAAACATATTTTAATGTAGCTGGTTTGGACATTTTCCTCTAAAACAAATGACCATTAGATTCCAAATCAACACAATGAATAAATTTAACATAAAAGAAAAAAAAAAGAAAAAAGAGAGGCGAAAGGATGTTCAAACTCATCAGTTGAAAATAAACTGACAATGCCATTTCAAAAATACGAAAAACGACGAAAAGACAAACAACAGTATATAAAACACAACATAGAAATCTACAGACTGAGTAACACGAACCCTATCAAAAACCAGGGGTGATCTCAAGTGCTTCGGAAGGGTAAACAGATCCTGCTCCACATGTGGCACCCGTCGTGTTGTCAGTCATGTAAGTACAAACCCGGTGATAAGTATTATTCGATGGGTCACATTAGAGGAAAAGAGGACGGAATTGTGGTAACAATGTGACTCCGTAGTCATCTGTAAAACATATATTCCATAACAGTCAAACAACTCGTGATGGCGACCATAACATTTTCAAAGGAATGATTTCAACTTTACCTCTTGGATCTCTTGGTTCTCATGATAGCTTCCTTGTAAGCAGCAATTCTTTATCAAGGAAATCGTGATAGGAAATGCAAGTTCTGGAATATCGTGTCAACTGGGAGAAAATACTCCATATGTAGGTGCTGCTGAAATGTTGCTACCGTAGAAATGCCGGAAAGTTCACAATTGGGAAGCTGAACTAATCTCTATCGTCGTAACTTTTTGTACTCAACCGACCAAGTATGTCGCTATTGGTGAGTTTTAATGACATAAATGGTATCTCTTTCTCGATAGCTTCCAGGGTGGATTTCGTCCCTACTCGGAGGTCCTCTGCCCTCGGCCCGCTGGGGGCTCTCAGATCACTCGCCGAGGTTCGGGCGTACACTTAAAATGGCCTACCTACGCCATGGCCACTGGTTCTGTAAACTTGTGACAAAACATACCTCATCGTTGACATTTATTACATATTCATTCAGCACATTGTTTCTCCTTTATTCAGATAAAATAACTTTCCCGGAAGAACATGGTTTTATCTGAAATATTGAGCCAAGCGGAGCGAGGCGAAACAAATTGATGTCTTTCCTGCCAAAATGTTTTTTCTTGTAAGCGGAAGCGTTGGATGTGGATCGCCTGACTCCATATCTCTAGATCATAAAGGAAAATTATTCATAATAAGATATATTTAAAATGTCACACTTGACTCCTAGATATCATCTTGAACTATTGAAATTATCATGCGCTCAGTCCACAGGCACTTGTCTCAGAAAAAAAATCCTATATACTAAGTTTCCTAGGATATTTTTTTTCTGAGACAAGTGCCTGTGGCTCAGTCATGAGTTTTACGATTAATATATTGTCGGTGATTTTACTGATAATATTGAAAGGGGTATACTATAAAGAAAACCCTCCGAGGAAACCTGCAAAAACTGAAAGACATTAATCCATCATTCCCTATCATTGTCATTCTTCATGTCAAACAAACAGTCATGACTCACATGAATAAAACATTTAACACTGAAATGAAGTTACAAGAGATTTAGATATGACATCTGAATCAAGTGTTAGACACTTCTGTTGCCTTCATTTCTTCGTATGAGCTTCCTCTATTAGGAACACCCCTCTTTTGAGATTAATATGGATAAAAAGTCTTTTAACTATGTACACACACCGTTTATATATACAGCTGCTAAAATCTGAAATAAACTTTTAATTTTCTGAGAACGAGCGATAATTGTCAACAGCAATTACAATCTTTTCAATATCCATTTATTGTCAATGTCTTTCGTATTGCACTGTACGATTTTAGTTTTGGTTGGATGGATGTTATATTGATGTTGATCTGCATAGTTACCTATAATATCTAGCATTAATTGCATTTCAGATGTATCGGAGCTCAATAGGACAATTGGTCATCTTCGCAAGTAGGTGGGCCTATGTATATATGTTACCTATAGGCCAATCGAGCTGTTTTTGAGCTCTTCAAGTAGGTTTTGGACGTACAGTTTATAAAGGTGGGTAGAGAGAATTCCTCCTTGTCTTACACCTTGTCTGATATCAAAAGGGTCACTATAGTGTCTCCCGTCCATTTTACTTTTGATTCTAGATCTGTATACAATAGATCTGTATGACAATAGGTCACATTGACTATGGCATTAAAACATTAACGGCAGCTATTACAAAAGTACTGTCTGAATACGGGAAAGCAAAATATGTGCAGTTTGATGAAATTGCCTGAATAATCAGATACTGATTGATAGTATTCATCAAATTAACTATGTTTTTGAATGTTTAAAAAACAGAGTTGCTCAAATCTGGTAAAAAAAAATCGATGCCCACGATCTGCGGCATAAAAGAATTGGATTCAACCCTTTCCAATCCCAAAACTTTTCAAGGCCCCCTTAATTTCCTGAGGCTTTAAATGACCAGTCCCTTACGAAGCTTGTTATTTATGACAATAGTATCGAAAATCGTTAGTCTAGAGCCTTATATAGGCAGGTATATAGGACGACATCATATCTATATTGGTGGTTTCCCTTATTACAGGAGTAAACTCATAGAAGATTTACAACAACAGTTATTTTCGTTTCATCCCTAGTCCTAAACGACTCCAAAAAACAGACATGGCGAACGTAGTTCGCAAAGCATTTCTTCACAGCATTTGTACATTATATAAACAATCACGAATTATTGTGGCTTCAAATTACCCGAACTTTCTTCCAACCGCCAGAAATTATTCGAAGAAAAAGGAAGAAGCCGAAGGTCAAGCGAAACCGCATTGTAATGTTGGGACAATAGGTCACATTGACCATGGCAAGACAACATTAACGGCAGCTATTACAAAAGTTTTGTCTGAATACGGGAAAGCCAAATATGTGCAGTTTGATGAAATTGACAGAGCAGAGTTAGAAAGAAAACGTGGTATAACAATAAATACATGTCATGTTGGTTACGAAACTGACAATCGTCATTATGCACACACTGATTGTCCAGGTCACATTGATTACATTAAGAACATGATAAATGGCACGTCTCAAATGGACGGAGCAATACTTGTTGTTGCTGCATCAGAAGGCACGATGCCACAAACTAGAGAGCATGTGTTATTAGCTAAACAGATAGGAATACAGAAATTAGTAGTTTTCTTAAACAAAATTGACTTGGTCGATGACGAACTAGCAGAGCTCGTTGAACTTGAAGTTCGGGAATTACTAGAGGAATATGGATATGATTCAGAAAATACTCCGGTTGTCAAGGGTTCAGCATTGAAAGCTTTAAAAGGGGAGAAATCTGGACATAACTCCATATTAAAACTGATGGAAGCTGTAGATAAATATATTGATATTCCATTTCGTGATTTATCAAAACCATTTATTCTACCAGTTGAACATGTGTTTTCAGCGAGAGGAAGAGGAACCGTAGCAGTTGGGACTCTCAGAGATGGAATTATAAAGAAAGGACAGCAAGCTCAAATACTTGGAGAAGGCGTAACACACAAAACAGCAGTATCCGATATCGAAGTTTTCAAGAAATCTGTTACGGAATGCCAAGCAGGAGATAATGTTGGTGTTCTCATGAGAGGTATCAAAAATGGTATTGTAACAAGAGGAATGTTTTTATGTGAACCTAATGCATTCTCTCAGCATGATGCTTTTGAAGCAAAAATTTATGTGTTAACACGTGCTGAAGGAGGAAGGACAAAACCCATCACTGACAAATATATGCAGTTACTCTATACCAATTATTTTACAGTACAATCTTGCATACTAGTACCAGAGGAGTCAAAAATGATTATGCCTGGTGAAGTTGTAAATATAAATATGTTGGTAAGAAAATCCATGGTTTTTGAAGTTGGGACAAGATTCACAATAAGAGAGCTACAAAGAACAACTGTGACAGGGGTAGTCACAAAGTTGCTGCCAAGAACTGATATAGAAATTATTGGTTTCAATAAGCAAAATTTGAAAACGTCATATGTTATTGAAAGTGGAAACCAAGTTGTTAGATCAAGACGATTAGCTAGAAAATCCAAGAATTAAGTGTTACAAATGTAGTTCAGTTATTAAATGTTTTATCATGCCTTTAATTATTGAATCATTTTCTTGAAAAAATGTTTTTTTTTGGTTAATATAAAGATAAGGAGATGTGGTATGATTGCCAATGAGACAACTATCCACCAGAGTTCAAATGAAGTGAATGTAAGTAATTATGGGCAACCATATTGGCGTAAGGCCTCCAACACTGAGAAAATCTCACACTGTATAGCGGCTATAAAAGGACATAAAAAATGTGAAACAATTCATACAAGAAAACTGAGGGCCTAATTTATAACAAAAAAATATATGAAATATAAATTTGACAGACATAAACCAACAACAACCACTGAACTGCAAGCTCCTGACTTAGGAAAGGCATATACATAATGTCATTATGTGGTGGGGTTAAACATGTTTGTGAGTGCTCAACTCTCCACCTTACCTGGGACAGTGGTGTAACAGCACAACATTAGAACAAATGCCTTTTATCACACCTTTCATTCCTGTATTCAATATACAGGTATGAATTATGTAATGGTTTCATTGCTGTTCTTCATCTTTACTGTATTGATTGTTGCTTATAGTTCTTCAACAATGCACCTTACACCCAGGAACTAGTGCTTTTGAGACACAGGAGAATATTAGCTCTGAAGGTGTGGTGAAAGTCCATCATCTATATGAAATACAACTGTACATCTGAAGAAGAATTGGTTATACTTGCAATTGCTTCTTAATCATTTCTGTAAATAATAGAGTTTAGCTGTATTTCCAGTTTATAAAATTACATTATTATGCTAAAACTAAAGTTCCACTGTTAACTGCTTCAGGCACAGTTGACATTAGATGTTTTTGTCGGATCTGTTTAGACCCTTTTGGTTTTTATGCTTTCATATTATTTATTTCCTATCATTAGGTGTCAAACCACGTAAGTGTTCCAGATGAAGATTATTCCATATTCATTTGAAATTTAATGAATTCCACAGCTAACAACATGAACAATATCTTTTGTGTTTTTTCAATGGGACAGTTCACTTTGCAAATTGAAATTGCCAGGTAAAGACCAACTGATTGTGGGGGAAGGTTTAATTTCCTTCCAATAAGGATAAGATGAAGAACAACAGTAAACTATCATTCCTTTGATATATGTTTATACATGGTCTATTTGTACATGTAAAAATTCTGCTACTACCAATATACTTATTACATAGTTTAAAATTGATTTGGAGTGGAAGAAATGCAAATAGACCATGTATAAACATATATCAAAGGAATGATAGTTTACTGTTGTTCTTCATCTGGGCATCTAAGAAGATGGTTTTCAACTATGAGCTTGAGAATTAGCACGGTTCGGATGAACTATTGTGGATTCTATTATTATCGTGGGTACCAATTTTCATGGATTGCGGAAAACTTGCTTTTTCATGGATATGTGATTTCGTGATTTTTGCCAAAGTCTGAATACAACCTTATAAAAAATTTGTAATTCGTTGAACATTTAGATTCGTGGTTCACCTGTACCCACGAAAACCACGAAAATTGGTATCCAACGAATAATAATGAATCCACAGTATTGTGTAAAATGCACAGGCACTTGTCTCAGAATTTTTTCCCCCTATATACCTTAATATAACATATTATATTAAGGTATATAGGTAATTTTTTTCTGAGACAAGTGCCTGTGGTAAAATACCAGTTCTGTATTATTCATATTTTACAGAAGTTAAGTTGAACCCTTACCAGTTACCTGCAAACATGTGAAAAAATAGTATTTTGTGCAATTTATTTGTAACTTCTGGTAAGGTAATTAGAAATAAGTGGAAATAATGACTAAAAAGATAAAGGGAGCTGCTACCATTATATTGTTTAGGAGTTATGTTTTCTGATTAGATTAGTTTATATAGAAGAACTATTTCTAGACAGTTGATATTTGATAATTGTATGCTGTTGCATTAGAATCAGTGATGGTGTGTTTGTGAAGAAATACTTATAATGTACCATTGATACAATGTATTCAGATTGATGTTGTATAAACATCCCTACACTTTATAAGATTCAAGCAGCATGTTGGGCTTCGTCCCTTAGTCATGTTTCAGTGACTTAGAATGTTTTCATTATTTAAATGCCTCATTTTTGTTTCACCTTGGTGGCAGAATTCTAAACAGTGATGGCATAAACTATTTGTATAAGGCTTCATATATCAGAAGAAAGATGCGTGGGATACTTCATATCTTGTATATATATGCATTTTCCTTCTGAAGTTCATCTGATTATTACCTCATTTTCATGGTTCATTGGTCAATGTAAAGTTTGGTGATTACGTCAGTTTCCCAGCTTCTATAAGCAAAAGGTCAACTAAATTAGGTGTACAGAATGATCTTTTGGCATACATGTCTGTCTGGCTGGGTTCAACTGACCTTAGCCTCATTTTCTTGGTACATTGGTCAACAAAAAGTTTCCGTTGTTAGGTCTGTTTCTCTGATACTATAAGCAATTGGTAAACTACATTTTGTGTATGGAATGATTGAAAGGTGTACATTACATCTTCTGACATCAGACTCGGACTTCTCTTGAACTGAATTTTAATGTGCGTATTGTTATGCGTTTACTTTTCTACATTGGCTAGAGGTATAGGGGGAGGGTTGAGATCTCATAAACATGTTTAACCCCGTCGCATTTTTGCGCCTGTCCCAAGTCAGGAGCCTCTAGCCTTTGTTAGTCTTGTATTATTTTTAATTTTAGTTTCTTGTGTACAATTTGGAGTTTAGTATGGCGTTCATTATCACTGAACTAGTATATATATTTGTTTAGGGGCCAGCTGAAGGACGCCTCTGGGTGCGGGAATTTCTCGCTGCATTGAAGACCTGTTGGTGACCTTCTGCTGTTGTCTGTTCTATGGTCGGGTTGTTGTCTCTTTGACACATTCCCCATTTCCATTCTCTATTTTATGTCTGTCTTGCAGGGTTCATCTTACCATTTACTTCATTTACATGGATCAGTGATAATGTGAAGTTTATGCAATACTTGTAGTAAAACCTTTATTATCAAGACTTTCAGATGCATTTCTGCTATGTATCCATCTGATGAATTAAGCCCTTTTCAACTGATTTTTATAGTTTGTGCTTATGTTGTACAATGTACTGTTACACCACTGTCCCAGATTAGGGGAGGGTTGGTGCCTTCAAACTAGGTTAACCCAGCCACATTCTGTAAATGCCAATCCCAAGTCAGGAGCCTGTACTCAGTGGTTGTCATTTGTTGCTCATATTTGTTTCTCATTCATTATTTTGAACATAAATCAGGCCGTTAGTCTTCTCGTTTTACATTTGTTATTTCAGGGCCTTTTATAGCTGACTATGCGGTATGGGTTTTGTTCATTGTCGCGCACAGTGACCTATAGTTGTTAATTTCTATGTCATTTGGTCTCTTGTGGAGAGTTTTCTCATGGCAATCATACCTCATCTTCTAATTTTTATATTTTCAACATAAATTTAATCATGAACAACAAAGCAGTCCTCACATTTCAGCATGTGTACTCTATCAGAAATATATTTGCAATAAACCATTGATATTTGGAATATTATTATAAAACTCTGAACACAGAGATGATACCTTGCTTTAAAAAAAAAAAAAAATGTGGATAGTGTCCACATGTGTCCACATGATGCCCTGCTTGCATATCATATAGTTATAAAGGGACATAACTCAAGAACGGTAAACGTGACGCTACCCAAATTTAAACTTCATCTGAGTTTTGTGGTAATAAGGTTAAAGCATTGTGTGTAAGTCTCATAACATTTGGTTGAGGCTAACTTAAGTAGAGAACAGAAACTAAAAATTCAGCAATTTTTATATTTGTAAACACGCATAACTCTAGAACAGTTGTGTATAAGTTTTATAACATTTGGTTGAGACAAACTAAAGTTAGAGATCGGAAATGAAAAATTCAGTAATTTTTGTGTTTATAAAGGGACATAACTCAAGAATGGTTAAAGTGTCACCACCAAATTTCATACTCAATCTGTATTATGTAGTAATAAGCATTGTGTATATTAAAGTTTCATAACATTTGGTTGAGGCAAACTAAAGTTAGAAAACGGAAACAAAAAATTTGTACTTGATCTTAGTTTTGTGGTAATGAATATTGTGTATAGGTCTCATAATGTTTGGTTGGGGCAAACTTTAGTAACAGAATGGAAACTAAAAATTTTGCAATCTTTCGATTTATAAAGGGGCATAACTCAATAATGGTTAAAGTGACACTACCCAAATTCAACTTGATCTGTGTTTTATCAGTGGAAGTCAAAATTAAACATTGCATTGTATAAAGCATTGATTGTAGTTGATTCAACTATAATCATGGACAAAGGAAGATAACTCCAATTTAAAAATTACTTGATATTTAAAAGAAAATAAAATTTTGCAATATTTCCATTTATAAAGGGGCATAACTCTAGAACAGTTAAAGTGACACCACCAAAATTCAAACTTGATCTGTGTTTTGTGGTAATAAGCACTGTATATAATTAGTTTCATAACATTTGGTTAAGGCAAACTAAAATTAGAGAACGGAAATGAAAAATTCAGCAATTTTTCCATTTGTAAAGGGCATAACTCTAGAACGGTAAAAGTGACGCCACCAAAATTTAAACTTGATCTGTGTTTTGTGGTAATAAGCATTGTGTATAATAACATTTGATTGTGGCAAACTAAAGTTAGAGAACGGAAACGATAAATTCAGCAATTTTTTCATTTGTAAAGGGGCATAACTCTAGAACGGTATAAGTGACGCCTACAAAATTCAAACTTGATCTGTGTTTTGTGGTAATAAGCATTGTGTATAAGTTTCATAACATTTGGTTGAGGCAAACTAAAGTTAGAGAACGGAAACGATAAATTCAGCAATTTTTCCAGTTGTAAAGGGGCATAACTCTAGAACGGTAAAAGTGAAGCCACAAAAATTCAAACTTGATCTGTGTTTTGTGATAATAAACATTGTGTATAATCATTTCCTGCAATTTACATTTTTCATCTTTATCACCTTTAGTTTACAAAATAATAGCCAAAAACTGTGAAATTTGGTTAAAATACACATTTATTAGTGGCAGTAACTCCAAAATGGATTGCTTATTTTTACTGATCTTTTTCAAGGTTTTTAACATATCAATTTTGCTCTAACTGCTTTAGTTTTTAGACCCACACCAACAACTGCAGCTTTACCCTTTTGTTATATTTTTAGCAACAGTAGTCATGTTTGTTAAAAAATTCAAAATCTTGAATATAATTTATAAACTACATGTAGATATCACAAGAAACATTTACGGTACTAAAAATTTAATTCAAATTAGTTGAGTGATTTCTGAGAAGTTGTTTGAAAAAGTGAACACCAATGCCAGATCCCAAGTGATGACAATAGCTAACAAAACCAATGAAAAGCTGTGCCATGAGCGCATGATACACCCGTCGCTTTTTCAAAGAATAAAGTTCCATAACTCCTCAATGTCACTCAGAAATTTATAAAAAACTGAAGGGAGGTTATTTTAATAGATATAAACCAGTCACCAAAGTTTCATGAAAACTGCTCAAAGCACCTTTGAGTTATTGTCTGAAAACTGGAAAATACTCTGAAACGTAAAATCTAAAATTTATAAAAATCGAAAGGGAGCTCACGTCAATAGATATAAACAATTCACCATAGCTTCATGAAAACTGCTCAAAGCATTTTTGAGTTATTGTCCGAGATGTTGACGAAGGACGGACGGAGGGACGGACAACGGTATACCATAATATGTCCCGTAAATGAAGAGAGAATGGAAACAGAGAATGTGTCAAAGAGTCAACAACCCGAAAAAAGAGCAGAAAACAGCCCAAGGCAATCAATGGGTCTTCAATGCAGCCAGAAAATCCTGCACTAAGAGGTGGGCTTCAGTTGGCCCCTACACAATTGTGTATACTAGTTCACCAAAATAGATGCCACACTAAACTTCGAAACATGAAAATGAATCAAAATTTAAAAAATTTAACAAGACTAAAATAGGCTAGAGGCTCGTAAGTTTCTTAGATAGAATGAAAGCTGTATATGCAAAAAATATTTATTTTGATTTGGTATGTTCAGTTTAAAAATAACATTATTCCTGACAAAATAAATTATAATAAAATCAGATCTACATTGTTTTAAAGCATATTTTAAAAGATACTAATATACACTTATATAAATGTAAATTAATGACAGGTAAATATTTTATCGCCAATGGCATTTTTGTAACAAACATGTAATTCCAACCAGTTTCAGATATTGTTTTCAAAATAGATTTGAATAAGTTCCCAATATTGGTCCCCAATAATCATAAAATATGATTCAAATATCTAACAACAGTTACAAAAATATAATGTAAACTTTTGAACCTAATATTTTACTACCTATAACTTCTGTCTACTGAACATTTAAAGTAGTATACTGTAAATTCAGAAATTATTGCAAGCATTTATTATTGTGATTTTCAAGAATTGACAAAAATTGGAAATTAATTAATGCAATTTTAGGTAAATCTGCATAAAGATACATGTATCAGATATCAGAATGTGAGTTCTTATTATTGTAACTTACCAAGTTGCATTATTTACATTTATAAAAACCTCACAATAATTTCTGAATTTACAGTAGTACTTGCACATAAATTATTCAAATTATTCCTAATTGGCACTTTAATAAATAGAAACGATATAAAAGCAATTGTTTTATTCCAACACCAGAGTACAACTCTTTGCCATTATCATATTCTCACTAGCTTGAAAAAGTTAAACAAATAATTAATACATAAAAAAATCACAATTATTCCTTGAAAACAAAATGGTATTGACATTTTGTTTTTGAAATAATGAATTTAATAACAACTCTTTAAATTATTATAGTACTACTTTGTTCAAGGGCAAAAAAAAATTGTGAGTATTGACACTGAAATCCAAAGCTACTTTAATATTAATCCGCTTTCCCAATAATTTAATATTTACAGGACTATTCCATGAATTCTGGTGCATATTATCCAAATTAGAAAATGGAATATTTCATTCTACTACCTTGCTACTGCAATAAAGGGTTTTTTCTTTCACTTTTTCAAATTCACAAATATTCTTGCTACAACCTTTTATAAGATAGTCTTTTTGATGTCTGAGTTCTACAAATCTTCCAAAAAAGTTATTAGTAAACTGTTGACACAGAGATATGTCTTGCCTTTATGTAATTTTGATAGTATAATGCAAATGTTGAAATTTAAATGGCAATACTTTAACTGTAAACTTAACTATGCACATCATTCAAAGTCATTTAAGAGATAACTGTATTGTATTTGAAGCTTTGCGGACGTCCATCGGTAGTTTTACTGTCCCAAATTTAGTTTACCTGGCGACGAGTAGCGGAGACAGGTAAACAGGTATTTGCGACAGTAAAACTACCAATGGATGTCCACAAAGCTTCAAATATAATATGGTTATCTCTATTCTAATGCAAAACAAGTACATAATTCAATTTCAATCATTATTTCAGTGTAAAATTTTCATTAAAGAAAATTCCACGAAAAGATGTTATCTTCTTTGGCCCCTAAACTAGGTGACGTCATAGGTATGCTTCCGACGTCAAACGTAAACACCAGGCGTTTTCTGGCTTCTTGACCGCTTCAGAATGTAATAAAATTTGATAAAAAGAAGATTTCTAGGTGCAACATGTGATTTTTTTGCTTATTATTGTAGAAATTACATGTCAATACATTCCGCAATTCAAAATGTCGGCTTCCTTAGTTACAGACAAGGAGATAGAGAATTTTACGCTTACTGTCATCCAATCAGAACCATTGATACAAAATAATTGCATTAGAATTTTCCATAACTGAGGGTGCAGGGCCAAATAACCTCCATTGAAATTAGATGTGCCAATGCTAATACAACTGATACCAGATATCATTGACTTACCACATGTGGTTCCCCTTAAACTGACCTAATCACAAATTCATACATTATTGACGCCGCTGTCAAAAACAGCATGCCTAAGTCCTGCGTTTTTTTCTTTGTTGAGGCCAGACAAAAACCTTATTTCATATGTATTGGTTAATCTAATTGCTATACAAAGTCTGACCATATTTATCTGGGTTCATTTGTTAATTAGTAAATGGTTGCTCATTATGTTTTTAATGATTTAATTTTGAAGATTTATAGAACTTAAACAGATTATACATCAAAAGTGTGAAAATATTTTGCACAATTCAGGCAAAATTGTACATTTACAGGCAATTCTAAGTAACAGTGTCCCCTTACTTTGGTTACAGTTAACACAGAATAATATAACACTGATATTTGGTTTAAATACAAATAATTACGTCATTTTCAGTTTTATTAAAAGCCAACAAATTAAGAAAGCATTAACATGGGAGGAGAAAAATACATATATAAATAAGAAGATCCAATGAGACTACTCTCCATCCAAGTCACAATGTATAAAAAGTTTACAATTATATGTCAAGGTACGGCCTTCAAAACGGAGCCTAAACTCAATTTTCAAGTGTTCGTCAAACATCATGTGTATGCAAAATCAAACTCACAGATCAGCTGGTGATTAAGAGCTTGACATATGGGGTGGACCACAATGTGTTTTCTTGTTTTAATTGTGTTGTTGGGTTTCTATATCATTGATGTATGTCTCAAGTCTTCTTTTATTCATATCACTATTACTTTTTTTAATGGAATTCACTTTTAAATACCATTATTTTTTTATCAATCCCAACATGGTCATATTTTAAAAATACAATATATCTTTTAAAACTCAACAGTCCACATTATAACATCCCTGCTATCATCCCTGCATTGGAAATATTCTTCATTATGAATTTACTAATATTGTTTTTTATGATTCCACAGGAGACTTACGACCAATCTTATATTTGAGGCTTAAATTCAATCCCTGTACCATTGTAATTGAAATTTTATATATCTTTTACAGGTTGACCATTTTGAAAGAATTTTGAGTTTCCAAAGTCATTATAACTGTCACAATTAGCACCAAGTCCTGATAAGTGGAAGTAATATGTTTCTTTCTCCACCTGTACTGTTACAGTGTTAATGTTAATCTCTTTGAATAAATTTGTTACCTGAAAAATAGGAATCATATGTGTGTCCTTTATTTATATATATGTAAATACATAACAGTAATGAACAAAGAATATGTGTGTCCTTTATTTATATATATGTAAATACACAACAGTAATGAAAATGCCAAATCCATATAAAATTAACAAAAAAGTCGCTGTAAGTCAATATGCAAAATCATTATCCAAAAAAGTATATTTTGAAATATTCAAGCAAACATATTTCATATGATGAAGAAATAATCTTTCAATCAATTTAATTGAGGTTTGGAGCTGGCATGTCAGTAACTGCTAGTAGTCCTTTGTTCATTTATGTATCATTGTCATTTTGCTTTGTTTCTTTTGTTACCTATTCTGACATCGGACTCGGACTTCTTTTAAACTGAGTTTTACTGTGCGTATTGATTTGTGTTTCTTTTTTCTACATTGACTAGAAGTATGGGGAGGGTTGAGGTCTCACAAAACATGTTTAACCCCGCCGCATTTTTGTGCCTGTCCCAAGTCAGGAGCCTCTGGCCTTTGTTAGTCTTGCATGTTTTTTTAATTTTAGTTCATTTATTTGTTTTGGAGTTTAGTGTGACGTCCATTTTCACTGAACTAGCACACAATGTTATTTAGGGGCCAGCTGAGGACCACCTCCGGGTGCGGGATTTTCTCGCTGCATTGAAGACCCATTGGTGGCCTTTGGCTGTTGTCTGCTCTTTGGTCGGGTTGTTGTCTCTTTGACATATTCTCCATTTCCATTCTCAATTTTATATTATTCCATTGTTGGTAATATTAGTCTTATGCCTAAAATACATGACTGATTTTTCTATTTCAAAATATGTATGAGTATTGCCGGTTTTCCTGCCGAAGGTCATGGTTTTCTCCAGGGACACCTGCTTCAGCCTCCAATAAAAACTGACCTCCAGGAGTTAGCCAATAGTGCGGAAAGTGGCGTTAAGAACCAAGAATCAATCAATCATATTACTTGGAAATTGTTATTTCTTATTGTGTTTTAGGACCATGAAAAAATATGGCATTGATGGCAGATCTCTATAGTGTGGCCTTAATCTATTCACATTTTGTCTATACTCAAGGCAATTTAAGCCTTGGCATATAGAGTGTGGACTCTTGGCTATCATTGATGGACCTATGTTCACCTCAAAACATCATTTTGGTTTAAATTAATGTTAGATTGCTGCCTTATCTACATTTTCTCCACATTTGTATAAGATTTAAGAACCACTCCACCTAAGAATCATGCAGAATGTATAAGGTCTAATTACTACTTACATATGCAATTATTTTTTGTTCACTAGCATCTGGTACAACATGTATATGTACTGTGCCATAAATTTTATCAGCTGTGTGCTGCCAGAAATGTGGTTCTCTGTAAGCCAGTATGCCTTCTATATTAAGCACCTAAAATCATTAAAATATACGTCCTGTGTGAATGGTGATACAACAGTTCTGATAAAATATTTTGCCTTCAAGTTTGAAAATCAAGAAAGATATTTATTTACTGTTACTCATTTATAATAATGACCAATTGATACATGGCAACTGTGTTTTGTGTCAAATGCTTTTATAAATCCTTATTTTTTTCATGGTGTATCCTGTGAATGGCAGCTAGTTTTAAATACAAAACTACTTTATAAAAGCAACATTAAAATAAACTGCTTCGCTGAGCGCAGCTAGATACGCCCGCAGAGGTCCAACCCTGAACAGTTGGGGCAAAAATGGACACAATATTCAAGCTTGATTCAGGTCTGAATTTGGATTGTAATTAAATATTTGACATATTATAGGTTTCTGAATAAATGTAGTCAAAGATCTTGAAATTGGTTATATGAATTGAATATGCAATTAAAGATTTCTTGCTGTTGTGCAATACTTAGTAAACCTGTTGTCAGACTATAAACAAATAAAGTTCAATTAATTCTCAATGTCATATTAGAAATTTATGAAAATAAAAAGGGAGCTTACAACAATAGATATAAACAATTCACCAAAGTTTCATGAGAATTGGTGACAGCATTTTTGAGTTATTGTTCGAAAACTGGAAAATCACCCCTTTTTTTAATGAATAAAACCCCATAACTCAGAAATGTAAAATTTATAAAATTCTAAAGGGAGCTTACATCAATACATACAAACAATTCACCAAAGTTTCATAAGAATTGCTGAAAGCATTTTAGAGTTTTTGTCCGAAAACTGGAAAATCCTCCCTTTTTTTATGAATTAAACCCTGTAACTTGGAAACGTAAAATCTAAAATTTATAAAAATCAAAAGGGAGCTCATGTCAATAGATATAAACAATTCACCACAATTTCTTGCAAGTTGGTGAAAGCATTCTTGACTTTTTGTCCGAAAACTGGAAAATCCCCCTTTTTTTAATGAATAAAACCCCATAACTCGGAAACGTAAAATCTAAATTTTATAAAAAATGAGAGGGAGCTCACGTCAATAGATATAAACAATTCACCAAAGTTTTATGCAAATTGGTTAAAGCATTTTTGAGTTAATGTCTGACATGTTGACGACGGACGGACAGACAGATGGACAGACGGACGGACGGACAGAGGTATACCATAATTCGTCCCGTAAACGGGCGTATAAAAATATATGGGTAATAACATGTATTAGAGTTAACACAAAAGTTTTTGTTGAAGTGCCTGTTTTTTTGCATGTAATGATTTGTGACCATAGTTTTACTTTGGAGATAATGTTGGCAGTTTGTCTTAAATAGCATTGCCCTCTTTGTAAACTTAATTTTTATACTATACTTATTTATAATTTGTACATAATCAGGCCGTTAGTTTTCTTGTTTGAATTGTTTTACATTTTTTTCATTTCGGGGCCTTTTATAGCCTACTATTAGGTATGGGTTTTGCTAATTGTTGAAGGCAGTATGGTGACCTATCGTTGTTAACTTCTATATCATTTGGTCTCTGGTGGAGAGTTGTCTCATTGGCAATCATACCACATCTTCTTATTTTCATATTATCAGGTTTTTTATGTACCCGTCGTAGGTGATGGGGACATCAAGTGTTTGTTACCCATGACCGTCCGTCCTTTTGTTCTTCTGTCCGTCAGTCCGTCCCATTTTTGCTTGTTTGAAGCTTGAGCGGGGGCATTTGTGTTCTCAGAAACATTCTTCTTTAATTTCAGTATGGTTTTGTTCTGAGGTAAAGAGTGGCACATAACTGATTCAGTACTAAATCATCTAGATTTTAAAATTTGTAATGTTTAACGATTCAAACCTTCTGTAAGACTCTGTTGATATCTGAATCTTCATCGCTCGGAGAACGGAGCAATAAAATCATAGATGTTTCTTTTAGCAGCGGAAGAACACTCAGCAATATCATTGTAGCAATAAATAATGAACATATGGGATCAGCTATATTCCAGCCAAAATTTTCTATCAGTACAGTAGATATGATCACTCCCACACTGCCTAGTGTATCAGCCAAAATATGTAGAAATACACCTGAAATTTAATACACAAATGAATTACAGAATCTGAAGGAAAATTTCAACATTTTTTATGTAGGAGAAGTGTTAAGAGCATCTTTTAACATATATTATGAAGTATCACAATATCATTTGAATAAATAATTAATAGTCAACTGTAAGGCTATTCTAAATTTTTCTTGTTTTTTTATGTTTTATATGGGGGATATGGACCAGATGGATAAGATGCAATAACCAGGTTTATGTCAAACTAAAGAGGTGTTGAATAAGCAGTTAAATACTGTGGTACTGTAAATTCAGAAATTATTGCGTGCATTTATTATTGTGATTTTTGTCATTTCAGACTAAAATGCGATTTTAATTTTTGAGATATTGAGAAAAATTCTGTTTAATTCATATAAAAAATTTCAAAATGCGAGTTTAAATTATTGCGATTATAACCCTGTCGCATTTTTCGCAATAATAAATACATCGCAATAATTTCTGAATTTACAGTAAATTATGTACCCAGTAGTAGTTTCTTGCATTTGCATTCAGAAAGACATTATAAAATCAACCAAAATCAAAGTATATTTATGAAATGCTTAAAAGTGACCTTTCAATGCGTCCTTAGTCAATACAATTTTACCAGATCAATAAAACCATGGCTATAGTTGTATGAAATTTAATATATTGTTGTCACATGAGTAATATGTACATTCACCAAATATTTCTTTTGATTCCTAAAAATAAATTCTGTATATATTACTTTTTCTTCATCTTTAGATTAATTAAATGTTATAAAATTATTTTACATGTATTCCATTCCATATAAATGAAAAAAAGATGAACAGCTAAACATCTTTGGAATTTTAGATATCCATAAGTTTTCATAAGAGCATGAAATTAAACTTGCATCAGTGCTGAATTATAAAATGGAAATTGTCACCAAAAAATTATATGAAAAAGGAAGGGATAAACAGGGAAATGAACGGTAGCTCTTTGGGGCTCCAGCTCCCCTTTGAAAACTGCCTCCGGTCACCACTTAAAGCAAATTTTTACGTATTTATGTTTAACAATAAACCTGTGTTAAAGGTCACAGATTGTTTTAAATGAGACCTCAGTTCGCAAGGCCAACTGCTAAACCCCCAAAAGTTGCATGTCTGATTTGACCATGTTGGAGCCACCACTTGACTAGGTGCAGAATGAAACCAAGACATGTTTTGCAAATTCCACTTATCCACTCCCTCTCTTATAACACATAAAATTATTAATAAATGTGTTTTAATAACAAATTCTCTTCCATTTTTGATCTTAAGATGAAATGTAAGGTTGGAATCTTGTCTCTTTTTGATCTCTTTTTATAGGAGCTACCTGGTATTTAAAATCTGTCTGTAGTTTTCTGGTGCAGCTGCATCATAAATGGAGAAAAATTGAAGATATAAATGGTAACATGTGATTTGATGGTTTAGATATCTTGACCTTTGACTTAGTATAATGTCAAGTGTTACAATGATTTGTATCCTTGACTTTGTCCTCTGACTATAAAAATTACTAGGGTTTATGGCCTAGTCATTGCAAAGTTTCATGAAGATTGGAAGAAGAAAAGTTAGCTCAGTTCTGACTAGAAAACATAATAAGAAACTGACTTAACTTTATCTTCTCCACAATGGTGAGGAAAAAAAAAGACTAAATACTATACTGTGGATTCATTTATTTTCGTGGGTACCAATTTTCGTGGATTAAGGAAAACTTGCATGTTCGTGGATATTTAATTTCGTGGTTTTGCTGAAGTCTGCATACAAGCCTATAGAAAATTTGTTAATTGTTGAACATTTAATTTCGTGGTTCAACAATAACTACGAACTCCACGAAAATTGGTATCCAACAAATAATAATGAATTCACAGTATATTACTAAGCTTTATGGAATCAGTAAAATTTGTGCGTAAATCCATTCTGTATTGTATAATTTAACTGTACATAACTATATCAATTAAAACATATGAAGAACAAAATAATTGCATCAAAATGTCAATAAAGTCATGACCATAACAAACACCATTACAAATTTAAAAACAAACAAGAAGTTGTATAATGGCTCTCAACCAAAAAGCATGATATAGCATTAAAAGATGTGTTAGTTTTATATTCATATCAAAGCTGTTGCCAAATTTAAGCCATGGATTCATACATCTCAAGTGCATAGTAGATTTGCAGAATTTTTTTATTTGCAGGTTAATACTTTGGGTAACGGGTCAAGGTCACTAAATTATGTTATCAGAACCGTGTTTAAATGGGAAACCCGTCTAAACAAATACCTGTATTAAATAATAAAATGCTCCGCTGGGGCGCAGCTTGATACGACCACAGAGGTCGAAACCCTGAACAGTTGGGGCAAGTATGGACACAACATTCAAGCTTGATACAGCACTGAATTTGGATTGTAATTAAATATTTGACACAGAATGAAAGTGGTCTAAGAACTTAAAAATTTTTAATTTACCTATTCAAACCATATCATTATTATTTGCTTTTATATATAAATCAGAAACAACCAATTTAAAATGGAAAATTTTAAAGAAAAAAAAGGAAAAAAATAATCCCCCCAAATTTTATGAACCCCCTTATGATTCATCACCCCCAAACTCAATCTCAGCCTTCCCTTTGTGGTATTGTACCTTGCAGTACAATTTCAGAGAGATCCATACACTTGAACACAAGTTATTGTCTGGAAACTAGAAAAATGCTTGTTTTTTGGCCCCTTTTTGGCCCCAAATTCCTAAACTATTAAGGCAATTACCCCTAAACTCAAACCCAGCTTTCCCTTTGTGATATGGAACCTTGCAGTACAATTTCATAAAGATCCATACACTTACACACAAGTTATTGTCCTGAAACTAGAAAAATGCTTGTTTTGTGGCCCTTTTATGGCCCCTAATCCCTAAAATTTTGAGGGAATTACCCCCAAAATCAATCCCAGCCTTCCCTTTGTGGTATGGTACCTTGCAGTACAATTTCAGAGAGATCCATACACTTGAACACAAGTTATTGTCTGGAAACTAGAAAAATGCTTATTTTTGGTCCCTTTTTGGCCCCTTATTCCTAAACTTTTTGGGCAATTAACCCCAAACTCAATTCTAGCTTTCCCTTTGTGATATGGAACCTTGTAGTACAATTTCATAAAGATCCATACACTTACACACAAGTTATTGTCATGAAACTAGAAAAATGCTTGTTTTTTGCCCCTTTTTGGCCCCTAATTCCTAAAATTTGGAGGCAATTACCCCCAAAATCAATCCCAGCGTTCCCTTTGTGATATGGAACCTTGTGATACAATCTCAGAGAGATCCATACACTTACACACAAGTTACTGTCATGAAACTAGAAAAATGCTTGTTTTTTGCCCCTTTTTGGCACCTAATTCCTAAAATTTGGAGGCAATTACCCCCAAAATCAATCCCAGCATTCCCTTTGCGATATGGAACCTTGTGGTACAATGTCAGAGAGATCCATACACTTACACACAAGTTATGTCTGGAAGTTACAAAAATGCTTATTTTTGGCCCCTAATTCCTTAACTGTTGGTACCATAACCCCCAAAATCAATCCCCACCTTCCTTTTGTGGTATTGAACCTTATGGTAAAATTTCATAGAGATCCATTCACTTAAACTAAAGTTAGAGTGCGAAAACTAATGTGTCTTCGGACGACAACGACGACGACAACAACGACGCCAACGTCGTACCAATATACGACCACAAAAATTTTTTTGCGGTCGTATAAAAACCTGTCTAATCAGAACCCTGTATCAATGGGAAACCTGCTTTAACACAACTCTGAATCAACAGTAAACCTGTCTAAACAAAGCTCTGTATTAACCAGAAACCAGTCTGAACAGAACCCTGTTTCAATGGGAAACCTGTCTAAATGAAACCCTGTATTGACAGGAAACCTGTCTAAATAAAACCCTGTAGTTATCAGAAACATGTCTAACGAAAACCTGTATCAATGGGAAACCTGTCTACACAGAACTCTGTATCAATGGGAAACCTGTCTAAACAAAACCCTGAATCAATGGAAACCTGTCTAGACAAAACCCTGTATTAATAGGAAACCTGTTTAAACAAAATCCTATATAAATAGGAAACCTGTCTAAACGAAACCCTGTGTTAACAGGAAACCTGTCTTTTTTTAAATCCAGTATTAACCAGAAACATGTCAAACGAAACCCTGTATCAATGGGAAACCTGTCTTAACAAAACACAACATTAACCAGAAACCTGTCTAAACAGAACCCTGAATCAACAGGAAACCTGTCTACACAATACCCTGTATTAACCAGAAACCTGTCTAAACAGAACCCTGAATCAACAGGAAACCTGTCTACACAAAACCCTATATCAACCAGAAACCTGTCTAAACACAACCATGAATTAACAGGAAACTTAGCAACACAAAACCCTGTATCAATGGGAAACCTGCTTAAAAGAACTCTATATTAACAGGAAATCAATCCAAACTGCTCTTGTATCAGGACATGTGTTCATTCAACCTGGGTAAACTGAACACCTGACTAAACTGACAAAGTCTTCAGTCTGGGTTTTTAGACAGTTTTAATTGTAATATCTTTTTCAAAATTATTTTAGGTCACTTCAAATCAAACAGATCAATTGTTTCAGTTCAAAATGTATCATTTACTAGTGATTGGATTAGTGAGATTGACCCAAGGGGTTTAATGAGCAGGGAATAAAGACATGTTAAACTCACTACTAATGTAAGCTCCACATTTAGATATAGAAGAACCTGCAATGTTTATTCAAGAGACAGAAAGAATGAAACAGATAGATAAAATAAAGGAAGAAGGAAAGAAATATATATTTATTTATAGAACTAAAGTTTCAAGAAGTGCTATTAATTAAAATTATAAAAGTGTCAATCAATTAAGACTGAAACACTTTTTCACAGGTGTTTGATGTTTAATTTTATTGGAACATCTATAGAAGACAAGTATTGCAAGATACATTATTTAGAATCAGAATGAACTGCAAATGCCATTGGTTTTTTTCTACTCACAAGAACATAATCTGCACTTACAGATCAAAAAGATAACCAAAGCCATTCAAACATATCTGAGGCTCTCACAACTGATTACTTCTGAAGGACTCAATTATTGGAACTCACTTTGTTGGCATTGTACATTTGACAATAAATATTCATCCATAACTTTACATTTAACTGAAAGGTTGAAAGCTGAACTTTATATCGATCCTCAATACGAGAACTCTACTCTATTCAACTTAACCTGGAAGTCTGCTTTTGCAGTTCACATTTCCACCCACAAATTTTGTCATTTTCTGCAGGTCAAATAGTTGAGACAAAGTTCATGTGTTGTGCATGGAACATTGTTAATTTCAGAAAATATACAATATTGGCATTCCCAACTTTTGGTTCTGAACATTCCTTATGAAGTGTATCCCAGAAATGATTTTTGATATTCAATCAATTTCACTTAAAAAAAATGACTTAACCTACCTTCCATGTTTGTGTTGTGGCCTCCATGGGAATGACCATGTCCTCCACCCCCGTGACTATGTCCATGTCCTCCATGGCTATGCCCATGTGCACCTCTGAAGGCCACAATACCAATTAAATTAACCAAAAGACCCATTACAGACACAGCCTGAAAGTATTCAAATCTTACAGTTAGCAAACTTATATAATTTTTTTAAAAAGGGGACATTAAAATTTTTAAATGGCAGTAAAAAATGAATAAAAATATATTTCATGATTAGACAAAATTTAGTTTCAAAGACATGCAAAGCAGTCCTAAAAACATCCTACTAATTCTGGTCCAAGTTATAATTTCTTGGAAATACAGTTTTGGAAAAAAAAATGTTGTAAAGATAGTCAACTCCACCATTTGTCCACAACATGAACAATATATTTAAAGAATTAAATTGTTTTCTGGAAAGTGTCTCAGCATAAGAACAAATTGCCTAAGAAAAACAACATATAAGTGACTTATACATGCAAAATGTTCAGAAAATACACTCATTTTTCTAGATGCCATTGATTATTCTTTTGATATGTGTCTACCAAAAACAAAGGCACTTGTCTCTGATTTTTTTTACCTTTATACTTTAATATAGCATGTGCCTGTGACCAAATGTACTAATCTTGTGCATTGAAAAAACATGTGTATTTTATTGCTTGTTGGTTGAAATCTGCTACAAAGTTCTGCTTTTAATCACAGCAGTGTTAATACGTCTGTGAGAGCAATTCTTTTACAGTTTATTTTACTGATTAGAATTTGACTCAACAAAAAAATCAATATAAAGACTTAAATGTGTTTTTACTAAATTAAAAATTGTCTGTATCTTTTTATTACACAGATCCACATAAAAAGGGGCACCGGAAGGTGGTATGCAAAAAAAAAAAACTTAGTCTGACCACAAAACATTAAGCAACCAACAATCAATCAATCTATTTTATCATCATTCATGATATCAAGAATATGAAAGTGAATTGTTTAACATCATATTTTTTTTTTTTATAAATTTTTCTTTCAAGAAAGGTTTTACTTTTAATAATGACAAATAACTCACAAACAATCTTTCTGTGTGTATCTCTGGTGGGTGAAATAATCTAGCTAGTCCTTCTGTGAAGACAAATATACCAATCACAACCAAGAACAGACCATTAATAAAGCCTGATAAAACTTCTACTCTGTCATAGCTACAAATAACAACAGTTTAAACAATCAAAAATGAAATGAACTATTATTCTGCTATTTTTGCAGTGTCAAAGCTAGCTATAATAGATGCAATGACCAAGAAACAGTCCTACTTGCCAGCCAATTCCATTCAACACCCATTGTAAGAAATTGCAATGATTGGACATAGTAAGTACCTCAATCCTGATTGCCATGTTTTTTTGGGGGAAAAAAAACTCACTGAGTATTGCATTATAATCCATGGGGCCATCCAAGTTACTGCTTTAATGACCACAGGTGATACAGGCCAATAATCACTTATCACTTTTACTTGTGTTCAAATTTCCTAGGAGATAATTTATTAAGATAGCTTTTTTCAGAAAAAAAAAACATCGCTAATTTGGATGTAAATAAAAAAAAAATGTGTCCATGTTAATATATGGCAATTTTTCTATTTATAAAGGGACTTAACTCAAGAACAGTGAAATTGACGCCACCTAAATTCAAACTTGATCTGTGGTTGGTGGTAATAAGCATTGTGTATAAGTTTCATAACATTTGGTTGAGGAAACTAAAGTTAGAGAACGGAAAACAATATCTGGATATATGTACAGACATATGTACACACGGACAAGGGGGAATAATAAAAATAATAAATATTTTCATTTTAAATTGGTTTTCAGATGAACAATTGATGTAACATTGGAAATTAAATTCATCATCCTAGATGGCACTTCAGTAATTAATAAACCAAGTATATTTCTAATGTGTTGCCTACAATTTCCTTTAATGCAAAAAAGTAAAATGAGCAGTTAGGGCTGTTCCATTAAAACAACATATATGGTACCCAGGGAAAATGGAGTAACCACCTATTGAGGTTTTTTTTAAACTTCTCTTACACTTTCACTGTAGTGTACAAAAAATATCACTCACCCATAGATGAGATTTTGAAGTGCCTTCCCTGGGTCTCATACATGTTTTTTATAGAACAGACCTTATATCATTAACATTTCTTATAAACAGCCTACCCATAAGAAAATATTCTCGTGGCTTTCCATCTACTCATGATGGCTGCATATAACCCCATAACTAATGCTGAACAATCGAATAACATATGGAAGCCATCTGATATCAGGCCTAAACTATTGGTCCACACACCATATACAAGTTCAACAAATGTAAAACACTGTAAAATATAACATGTTAATATAATACCACCATATCAGGCCTAAAGTATTGGTCCAAACACCATATACAAGTTCAACAAATGTAAAACACTGTAAAATATAACATGTTAATATAATACCACCATATCAGGCCTAAACTATTGGTCCAAACACCATATACAAGTTCAACAAATGTTAAACACTGTAAAATATAACATGTTAATATAATACTACCATATCAGGCCTAAACTATTGGTCCAAACACCATATACAAGTTCAACAAATGTAAAACACTGTAAAATATAACATGTTAATATAATACCACCATATCAGGCCTAAACTATCGGTCCACACACCATATACAAGTTCAACAAATGTTAAACACTGTAAAATATAACATGTTAATATAATACCACCATATCAGGCCTAAACTATCGGTCCACACACCATATACAAGTTCAACAAAAGTAAAACACTGTAATCATGGTAATATATAACATGTTAACATAATTAAAATCTTTATAATATTAGGAAACACTTTTGTACGCGATTCGGATAAATTTTGTGACAAGCAACTAATATAATATAAATAGACTTTTCACTGCTACCTTCAAAAACATATATTCATTTGTTGAATCTAAAAATCAAATGGTGGTAAAATATTGAGAAAAAAAAAACATGTTAAAATTTAGATGGGATTAAATGCACAATATGAAATTATATACTTAGAAAATTCAATTCATGATTTGCGCTGTGTCGGATAGAAATCGACCTTATGCAAATCAATATTAATGCACCTGTTAACTTATTTCCGGTTGAAAAAATCTCAATGCAAAGTCTGTAACTGTTTAAAAATTGAGTTGATATAAAAACCAAACAAAACAGACCAAAATTTATCTTTTATTTCGTATTTGAAGGTTCCAAAATCAAGCAAAGTCTTGTACATGTACATGTATATGTGCACTTGCATAAGGTCGATTTCTATCCGACGCTGCTCATTTTTTGTTTTGAAACATATACATTCAAGTTTTGTAAATGTCAATCCATTCCAAATCAGCACACTGCATTGACATACATTTGTATAATGTTATTACACAAATTATGAAGGTGTACAGACTTACAATACAGCAGCGTGAATAAGGTTTGAAATCTGAAATGCTGTCATGTCAAACCACTGTAATTTATATCAGTAAAACAGGTATATGATAAATAGTTGTAAAAAACATTGTAATATTTTAAAAATTGTAAAGTAACTTAAACATCCAAAGTCAGAACACATCAAATGTAACAACACAATTAGCTATTCAAAGCTAAAGTAGCAGAATTGGTTCTTTTTTTCTTAAGTACCATCCTTTTAAGAAATGTATAAAATGCACTTAGTACAATTAGTATATGAACAATAGTACCAATATTGCTATGAATCTTGTTTTGTTTGTTGTGTCTATGTCTATTTCAATGGTTTTTAAAGTCCCCATCTTTTCACTCGTATAAATTAATGGTCAGTGCAGAATTTTGACATCACATCTCCATCATATACCAGTGAATGGACTAAATACATATATCAATCATCAACCAAGGTCACATTTCTCTTCATTCATTCTCTATTCTCTCCATTCTATATAAATTTGTTTTGTAATGGAAATAAAAGAAGCTGTTTTAAACTATTATATCTATTATACTTTTTCATTTATCTAAGACTATCCTTACCAAATTTATACATAGGAAATAAAATATTCTCCGGGAGTCTGATTCTTCATATATTTGTTTCAGTCCATTTTTAAGTATGGTGATTACTGAATGTGATGTTTTAGATATTGCATCACCAGTAAAACTATACAAAGGTAATCCAGTTGCTGAGTAGCCAATAAAACTTCCACCTTTTGTCCCTTTACTGGGCCATGCTAGCATATTGGTGGCTGAAAAAAAATAAACAGACATTCTATAGACAGTTCTAGGAAAACAGTTTTTTACAATTTCAATTAAAATTCCCATTTCAAACAAATACATATTATTGTTAATACTTTTATCTCAAATCTGTTTCACTATTCCCCTTAACAAAAAAAAAAACCACCGCCACAAAGACAGTAATTACATCAGGTAAAATTGGCTGTTTCAATTTAGTCTGACCTCTACTTTTAATACTGCTAGAGTTTAAACAAGCAACAATAAATTATGCATTCTAATGCATTCGTTTGTGAAGACTTTTTTGATTGGAGGAATCATAAATTTGACTGTTTTTAGCTAAAGATAACTAAGCTATTTTGAATTTTGTAATTAATTGGTTTGCAATTTTTTCAATAAAAAACAAAATAAATACCATTTTTACAAATACACATGATTCATACAAAAGAAACGAAGAATAAATGCATTAAAAATAAAATCTTACCTAACATGAATACTGCTAAACTGAATACAACTCCCCCAGACAAAACATGATCATTTGAAATAATCTCTTTAATGGTGGTGATTTTAGAAACTAATGGATGATTCCAAGTTAAAGCAAGAAATAAAGCTGAGAGAAATATTGCATATGCCCCATACACTGCAGTCTTTGGTGGCTGTAGGTGGTTAATAACAACTGCTTCTATATAGAAGTCTATCACAAGCACAAATAATATCACAAGAAATAGTGGGAAAAGGAGGTATAACCAAGAATCTATGTCACTCTACAATGAAAAAATAAAAGTTAATAAATTTGAAAAATAGACCAATTTTAAGGACTATTCCATTAACATAGATGTGGGAAGGTAGGAATATTTTTTTCATGAGTCGCAAGTCATTTATGATTCAGTGTCCATTTGATGTATGCAAAATTCAATAAAGAAGGGTCTTCTACATCATTTGGTCTCTGGTGGAGAGTTGTCTCGTGGACAGTCATACCACATATTCTTATTTTTATAATGTAGGATGGGGTGTGATCTTTAATGTATATTCCTACCCCCATATCCAATATAATGGAATAGCCGTTAGAATACGTCAACAAATGCATGGTTTTGATTTTCAATACATGTATTTCAGAGATATTTTTTAGTCCAGCTGTAATTTATATTTATATAATGTTGAAGTCACTCAACTGTATTAACTAATTAAGGCCTACATGCCTGAAGTATTTGTTGACCATAAATTTTCTTTTGTGACCTAAATTTTATTGTCCCATATAGTAATGGTACAATTTTAAAAAATGAATGCATAGGGGTGGTCAATATACAAGTTTTCAATTTCTATTTTATGAATGAACTACCACGGTTGACCTTTGGTCGTTCTGGGAATACACGTCATTAAGACATTATGGCATGAAGATATTTTCTTTTAACGTCAAATTTTTCTAGGGAAAAGCACGTTAGAAGATCAAGTATCACCTATATACTGATTTCACATAATGTTAAAGATAATATTTTTTATTACAGTATGTATAAATGGGAAGTGTTTAGTGTCTTGCTTCATACAAAAACTTCTTTTAACTAACATCTAAACTGATCTTTTATTTACAGCAAATCTGATCAACAGAAAATTCTTATTTAATTACCTCTTTGGTCATTGCAATGAACATTGCCCATGGGAACATAATAAATGCTTGTATAAATGTAGACATAGCATGAAGACGTTTAGAACCACCAACATCTACAGATAATTTCTTTGAGGCACTGTTGTATCCAATTTGTAGGAATAAGGTGATTGACAGTAGGACGACTCCACCCTATCAAAAATAATAATATGAAAATATAAGATTTAAACTTTTCCCTGCATTTTATAATCATGTTAAATAGCACATCAGAGATGCTTTATAGATCTATATCAATTCAAGTGGTACATATGATCAAGAAACTCATAGACAACAACATACCAAAAAGGTATGAATTTTAATGGTTTCAACCGGGGAAACACACCCATTTACAATTTCTTCTAATTACGGATATGTACAAATTTGACAAGTGCAATAAATAGTAAGAACATCTGCTTTCATTATTTTATTTTGTCATATGAATAAAAGCAGATCTGAGCTATATGTCAACGAGACAGCAATGCAACATAAACAAGGAAAAGACTTTTTCTGTATAGAAACATGTTCTGGTGATTGTTGACTTTATTATTATACATGTACAAGAAAAAACTTATAAACCACTAAATTTAGTGTTTTCATCATTAATTATAAATATTGATTTTGTTGAAGCTAATTTTGAGCAAATCCTCATTAAATTGTGACATTAGCAAGTTAATTTTCTCCTTTTTCATCACTTTTAGAGATCTTGCTGAGATTTTCTATTGTTCAGGTTACCAATTAATCTTTTATGATACTCTGCTGTATTTTCAAGGCACCAGTCTTGTTTTGCATAAAAGATATATCAATTGACCATTTACAAACTAATTGTATTTGAGGAAGTTTGCTTATCTTGTTTTTGACTTTGTGTCAGATATTCAGAATCCTCTGGTTTTACCCATGTGGTGCCATTAAAAAATTTCGTCTGCTAACCCCTTCTTTCTTTTTCATAATTTTATAACATATGGTTTAAAAAGCCATATTTGAAAATATTATAAAATCCTTGTTATTTTTTTCATCCTTTTTAAGCTACCGATTTTAAATGTATGAGAAGTCTAGAGAGAATCCTTTCCCTCAAAATTTTCAATGGAAACAAATTGAAACAGAGTCGCAAACATCCTCAAAAACAGTTATGCACTTACCTTATGGTCTGACCATCCAATGGAATTTATTATATGATAAAATACATGTGTAAATACATTGCTGTGTTTGTGATTTCCTGAAAACTTGTTAAGGCATGTTGTTTTTAAGTATATTAATGCATGCAACCCCTCTCTCACACCCTGAACATAAGCATCTAAAAATCCATTAATGTTCTCCAACATAAAGATTCTTCACTTGTTTTAGATTGACTTGCTATATACAAAATTGATCTGTTTTTTTATAATTAGTACATTGTATAAGACAGTAAGCATCAAGCTATGAAATGAATAAATTAATTACTATTTTCATACTTTTATAAGACTTAAGTTTCCTACAAACAGCATGTATCTTTGATAGAAAATTTCTACTTCAAATTAGTTTTATTTTAACTAAATATCAAATAAACATTCTAAAAAAGTTTGAATAAACAAACATTTCAACTAAGAAAATATTTATTCTAAATTCTGGTCAAATCCTGTATCTTATCCTAGATAACTAAACATCTCATAGTGTGTTAACAAGGATACCATCATGATCATGGTGACTGTGCTCTTCATCATGATCGAATAACAACAGCGTCAAAATGGCAATCAGGAAAAACACAGCTCCTCTAGACTGTAAAATATAGAAAATAATGATAAACAAGAATATGTCCATAGTACACTGATGCCCCACTCGCACTATCATTTTCTATGTCCAGTGGACCGTGAAATTGGGGTCAAAACTCTAATTTGGCATTAAAATTAGAATGATCATATCATAGGAAACATGTGTACTAAGTTTCAAGTTGATTGGACTTCAACTTCATCAAAAACTACCTTGACCAAAAACTTTAACCTGAAGCGGGACTGACAGACGTACGAACGAACGAACGGACTCACAGACCGAAAAACATAATGCCCCCTCTACTATCGTAGGTGGGGCATTAAAACAACAAGGTCAAAATGACAACCACCTCCACTAGACTGTTATATATGAAAAATAAAGGTTATAAAAGAAACAATTCTGGTTTTAATTTTCAGAAATTTTTTACAAAAGATTTCCTTTGACCTGTTGACAAAATATAAAAATATCAAGAAATTTGAAACACACAATTTACAGGAATAATTTCATTGGATTTATGGCAGTTTAACAAATGCTAATTTTGATCATTAAGAAGCTTGATTTCTCACTACAAATACAATGTGATTAAAATGTTCCGTGATGAGTTAACTCCCTTATGTGTTCTGTACCCCCTTAAATGAGTGTTGAAATCAATATCATTAGGATGATAAAACTTAGTAATGTGGCTTTACCTTTAATTTACCTAAGATATTTTGTTTTCAACCCCTCAATGGTTTTTGGTAATACTTTACAATAGTTTTATATGTATCTTGGATTCTGTTAATTCAAAGAAAGCCATGACTATATAGATCTCTGATTCTGGCAATTTTTATCATGTTTTTCAACAGCTGAATTTCAATTTCATTAACAATTAATAAATTATTGTAACAAAGAGAATAATCCTTAAGGTGCAATGATTACTAAACAGAAAAAATTATTGAAAATCTGTTTCTACAACTTTAGAATTTTTTTTACTTTAAATTTTTTTAATTAGAATATATGTTCCTAAACTTTTTTACCAAATTACAATATTACGGTGTGCTGGGGATTAGAAATTTATGATACTAGTAATCAAATAATCAAGACTCTTCCGTATAAAATAACCAGTAATTACCTTTGCTGGGCCCCCTCCATTTGCTGTAAATAGAGCACTGGCACCAGAGATGATAACTAGATCACTATGTTCAAACAAAAGTATTGTCCTGAAAATATAGTACAAAATATTGCATGAAAATTTTATTACGTTAACAACAAATCTTACAAATTAATTTTAAACACATTTGAATATTCTGTTGATTTGAACAAAAGATATATGTATGTCCCTGGCAGTTATATCTGCTCTTCAACATTTGTATGCTTTGAATTTTCAAACATTTTGTTCTCCAGCATTTCTTTGATGTGCAGGAGTGCACCAAATTTAAAGGTTTTTTTTTTTTTTATGTGCACATTCCCAAACAGTAATTTTGCCTATGTACAGTTTCCCTTGGAAAAGGGGGGTTATTTTTACTGTGTGCACATCCAAAACAGTAATTTTCTCTCAGCACAGTTTCACACAGGAAAAAGGGAATATTCTAGTTATTTTATTGGTGGTTAATATTGCAAAATCAATAAAAATGTTTATTCCTTTTTTTTTTAAAGTAAAAATATTCTAAATTGTTTTTGTGAACTGTATGTAGTGTAAATGCAGATTCCTACCTTAAAGGTCCACATAATGTCAACCCAAAAAGCCACAATAGACTCAGAAATGCACCAAAAACTGCATGTTTTCCTATTCTAAACCACTGAAAATAAAAATGAAATAATATGAACTAGTATTAATCTATTCAAAAACAGTCATGAATCCGATTTAGATTCAAAAGAGATTATTGATATATCTTTCCTTGTCATTGGTTGATATTGACTGTAAGAAATACACATTTTAAAGAAAAGAAAGTTAATTCTCAAATGAGGGATTGTAAAATAATGAAAAGATAAAATATTGATGTGTCTTAAAGCTTGGCACTAATAGTTGGGTTTATGAGACAGAATCCACACACTTTTGTCAAAAATTTCCACCAATCCTCCCTTAGACATAAAATAAGAATCTTGTCTAGTATTTGAAATTTAAATTTAAATGCACTTTCAAGTTAATCATACCTGGGATTTTGATAATCTTTTACTTGATGAAAATGGCTTTTGTAATATAAGTAGTGGTAGTGAACTCCTGAAAAGAAATATATACAAAATACATCAATATCATTTATAATATGAAGAATGGTTAAAATGGCATTATTGGAAACCGAATTAATAATTTTGCATTTATAACAGGAAGAAAGGTTATAAATGTTATTATCAAAAATTGAATTGATAATTTTGCTTTGTCCAGATTACTCCAAAAGTTATGGTAATTCAATATTTACATGTTTATGTGCCTACCCAAACCGTAAATTCATATGTTGTCAAATTCTAGAATTTAATTGAAATACTACCTTTGCCAAACATTATTTAAATTGTATGAGTATGAAAAATAGATAATGTTAACGTTGGCTGAACGTATCAAACAGCACAAAAACCAAATAAAAGCACGGAACCCCTTATGGAGCAAAATATATGGTTAATGCATAGACTTTTTACATGTCCCACTCCAAATGTTGCCTAGCTTGGGGCCCCAAGCCCTTTCTTTTTCAAAATCCTGGATCCCCATCTGGTCTGTCAGAAACAGAGCTGGGAGGCAGAAGTAATCATATAGTTTCTTTACAATGCAGAGACTTTAGATTATGTTTGATGTTTTTGTTGTGTTGCTGAATCTCTGATACATGTACTATCTTTTTCCTTGTAATGTTTCATATCTAAGTCCAATTTCTTTTATTGATTATCTAATGCATTGTATAATCAATTTTAAAATACAATTCAATGTATATTGAGTTATGTGCACTTAATTATAATCAGACGTTATTATCCTTACCCTGTTTTGATGATAAACAGAAACTGCACCACTGGGATGATCTTCAGTAAATCATAAGACAAGAAAAGACCTGCAGCTCGAAGGAACTTTGACACAGCTAAAATAATCACATACTTCATCCAACTGTAACAGAAAATATCATGCTTTAAATAATTTGATATTAATCATGTTAATAGAATTATTTTACTTTACTAGAATTTGAAAGATACAGAGATTGAATAAGGGTTTGCATATTTTCATCAAACAAATAAAACACTTCCAAGTTTTTACTCTTAATTTGCAGGACTATTTTAATGAACAATGCCACACACTAGAGCATTGTTAATCAATGGTTAATTCGGTGCTGATCTGAGAGTACAGGTAGACTGAGCTGATATGTCTAAGTATGTGACATCAAACAATCTTTTTGAAATTGTTTCTTAAGCCTACATTTGTAATTTTTCATGTATGCAGCTAATAAATTTTGGTGACCTGTGAGTATTGATGCAGTGGATTTTTCATAAAAATATTTATAGATTATCAATAGTTTTTTCAAGGCAATGTCTTCGCGTACCCGCATGAGGGTACGAATAGTCAAATTACCATTCATTGGCTACGCGTACCCACATCCAGTTTTATAATAAAATGCCATCGGATCGGGAATGAAACGTGAAATATATACGGAAATTATCGATAATATCGGGATTTCGTGTAGAACGAGTGAAGAGTATGAAAAATAATATTTGCAAATTTAAAGAATAAAATTTTACTGATTTTGAAAAATACCCATATGAGATTTAAAAATAAGTCAGTTTAGGTTCTTTTAAAATATATATCTAAATAAAATAGATTATCTATACATATATAATGGTTTATAATGACCTATAATGGTTTACTTTTATAAATTGTTACTTGGATGGAGAGTTGTCTCAATGGCACTCATACCACATCTTCCTATATCTATATATATATAACACATCATTTAGTTTATTCATCATACATAATTTTGTTCATTTTAACCTATATATGAACACCTGAAATATTTTATTATATTTCAGGTGCAACAGTAGAAGTAGTAAAAGATGAAGCGTGGAAGCAACTTAAAATTCGGATCAACTGAAGAAGAGAATCATGCGAATGGATATGTATCATTTGTCAAAAAAACCTACACGATCATGACTCTTTGGCCTGTGATTGTGGTTTTGACTGGCAACATTTGAAATGTGCGGGGTTGAAATATGTGCCAAAACAATCATATTGGATATGTAAAATTTGTTCCAAATCTTAATTAGTTACATGAATCTTTTATAATTGGTTTAATTTGACATTATTACTTGCTTCTTTAATTTTTATATAGACAACCAAGCTTTAGTTTTAAGATATTTAACAATTTCAGTTTCTGTTTCACATTTTACTAAAAGATTATTTTTAAATCTCATATGGGTAATTTTCAAAATCAGTAAAATTTTATTCTTTAAATTTGCAAATATTATTTTTCATACTTTTCACTCGTCCCCATATTACATGTATTATCGATAATTTCCGTATATATTTCACGTTTCATTACCGATCCGATGGCATTTTATCATAAAACCGGATGTGGGTACGCATAGCCTATGAATGGCAATTTGACTATTCATACCAGCATGCGGCTACGCGCAGACACTGCCTTTTTTCAAACAAAAGGGTGTTTGTCAGCTACAATCTCATGGAATCGACTTGGTGCCAGATTGTTTTGGGACTAGAAGAACCCGATATCATTCTGTATACTCCATTTTTTCTATCTCCAGCTCTTAGAGCATTCCTTATACCTTGAAGAAGTGTTGTAGATTGCGTGTTTTGGCAGACCACTGCCATAAGATTCCACCATGACGGGTAATTTTCATTCAAGGCAGTAATGCCAATCAAGTCATTGTTATTTTTGTACTTCTTTCAATTGGTATGTAAATCATGAGTCTCTACAGTAATTTAAAACTGCAAATCTGTGATAGAAATATGTTTTATGTTACATGTCACCAATCTTTAGCTTAGAACCGGAACCGGAATTGAGAGTTCAAAAAGGTGTGAGACAACTCGGCCCAGAGACAACTCGGACCGTCTATGAAGACAACTCGGATCGTCATTTAATCAACCCGGACCGTCAAAAAGTCAACTCGGTCGACGGACCGTCTATAATGCCAACTCAGACAAATTATAAAATTAGAGTTTTGACTTTGTAAATGATTTGATGAAAAAGACTTTGTCTGAAGAGAAGTCATATCGTCCCTAATAAAGTTTGAAAATCTGAGCCAAGTACGTAATTCTAATATACGTCCTTGATTTAACCGGAGACATATATAAAATTCTCTGATTTTACTTTTATATGTAAACTTTTCTCAAAAGTTCATCATAGACGGTCTGAGTTGACTTATTAGTCGGTCCGATTTGTATCGGTCTAGGTGTCTCCGGGCCGCGGGCCGAGTTGTCCCGCATTAAAAAGAAATGGCTGCGCCCATAGTCGAAAATATCTGTATGACAGAAACACGAAGTTTGGCATAAACACGCTTCTAAAGACACCTCTGTTATGTTACTTGTAAAACCTGATGTTCTTTTTCTTTGATAAGAATCTCTTTGAATGACACAAACGTAAAGGAGGAAATTATGTTGTTTTATATTCATCGTCTGTTGCAATGTTGACACATTCATAATAATTTAACAGATCGGACTGATAACTTATAGTTTGACAATGACAAATCCTAGTACAGCAGTTCTTGAAGCACTACACAATGCCTGTAGTCAAAATGCTGATATTTTGAAACCTGCCGAAAAACAGTTGCAGGATTGGGAAATTCATCCTGGATTTTACTCAGTTTTATCGGTATGTGATTAATTTATTATGAGTCAGGGGGAAGCACTAATGACAGGACGATTGCCCGGATAGTGACAGGACGATTGACCGGATGAGATATAAATAGTCATAACTTTTTTGTTATTCGGTAGATTTTTTTAATATTTGTAGACCTTAGAGATATTTAACTATATTTCATGAAAATAAAACAAAATAAATGAAAAAAAATATTTTGAGCAAATAAAGTTGACCGGACGGATTTCACACTCGCCGATATACGCTATACATATATTCAACTGGTCGACAACAAGTGTTAATATCTCTTTTGTTTTACAATATTTGTCGATGAAATTAAGGAATCTGTGAGAATAATAAATATATAATACGAAAATATAAACTTTATAGTAAACAAAAATGTTTTCTTAGTTTCATGTAAAAATATTGTAAAACAAAAAAAATATAAACACTTTTTGTCGAACAGTTCAATATAATCAACGCGTACATCGGCGAATGTCAATACCGTCCGGTCAACTTTTTTTGCAGAAAAACATTTTTGTTTACTATAAAGTTTATAATTTCGTATTAGTATTAGTATTAGTGTTTTCGACCAGTTGAATATATGTATAGCGTATATCGGCGAGTGTGAAATCCGTCCGGTCAACTTTATTTGCTCAAAAATATTTTTTTTCATTTATTTTGTTTTATTTTCATAAAATATGGTTTAATATCTCTAAGGTCTACAAATATTAAAAAAATCTACCGAATAACAAAAAAGTTATGACTATTTATATCTCATCCGGTCAATCGTCCTGTCACTATCCGGGCAATCGTCCTGTCATTAGTGCAACCCTGAGTCAGGTGATTCCTGCGAGTGTATAAGTAATTATTTAAGATAACAAAACTTATTGTGTGGCCACCTACTTTGCTCTCAGTATTTCTGGTATTTGTACATGTATGTCCCCATTAATATTCTGTGTTTGTCCCAACATTATTTTTCATAAAACATGCAATAAATAATTAGGACTATAAAATTATGCATACATTGTTGTGCTGTAGGGATAGAGTCATATTACTTTAGATGTCTGAATCCACCAAGATGTCAGAGTGTAATTATCATGATTATCACCTGCTGTAATATTACTTGTGTCAAATACCTGCTGGAAGATCTGTAGCTGATTGCTAAAATTCAATTCTCACCTGTACATTTATGGAAGATAGAAAGGAAGCAAAACAACTAGCCCCACTGCCAAATCGCCCGAAATATCAATCGTCTCGCCCCAATTTCTACCAACTTGCCACATTCACGATATCCAACTCACCCCACTTATAAAAAAGAGTTTCATCCCGCTAAATTTAGGCCTGTCAACTCTCCCCACATATGAAAAGTAGTTTAATATACACAATCTCCCTAACTATACTGCTAAAATAACAATAGACAAAAAACACTTGTAATATTAATAAAAACAGTGTTTTATATTTTCTGTTACCATGGTTACCAGAAAACTAACATCATAAACAGTTACAGTGGTCAATAATTAACATCATACGACTACTAGTAGGGGCCAATAAGGGGGGGTGTTTAACAACCTTGACTACCAATGAGGGTCTTGCATGGTCATACTTCACAGAAATGCTAATACTTACTTCTTTCTGCTTTGTTTCAACCAAAATAAAAGAAGTAAAAAAAAGATGCCTTCCCTCCTAAGGTTTTCATCAGAATTCATTTAATTCTTAAGTGGGGCGAGTTTGTAGGCCTTAATTCAGTACAATTTAATACTTTTTCAATAAGTGGGGCTAGATGGCAGACCTTTGTTCATTGGGATTAAACTCCTTTTCATAAGTTGGGCGAGTTGGTAAACCTTAATTCAGTGAGATTTAATTCTTTTTTTCATAAGTTGGGCGGGTTGGCAGACCTTTATTTTTGGGAATTAAAATTCTTTCCAATAGTGGGGCGAGTTGGTAGGCCTAAAATCATCAGAATTAGTCTACATTTCATAAGTGGGGAAATTTGGTAGGCCCAAATTAAGCGGATGAAACGCTTTTTCATAAATGGGGCGAGCTGTTTGAAAGTTAAAGTAAGTTGTCATGGATTCAATAGAAAAATGTTACACATTGTATTCGGTTAATGAAGCGATTTACATATAAAGATAGCACCAGAGTAAAAAAAATATCCTCCCGAACAGACCTCATATTTGAAAATGATTAATTTGAGGGCATTTTTTAAAAATTGTGTCCAATTGATCAGGTTTAGTGTTTAGATGAATTTCATAAAGGTTTAGAAGTCTCAATATGATATTGTTGGAATCATGCACTAATGTGCATACATTGTATGTGTGTGCTGTTCATTCAAGGAGCTTTTCATTCCAAACAAGTTGAATTTCTTTGGTATAAATAAAAAAAAATAGGCCTTTAAAGAAGTGTTCATAAAAATACTAGATATAAACCAAGTGCTTTTTGTTTTGAGTGGATCTTGTGAACAAATTATAATTTGTTATTTTTAGGAGATATTTAGTAACCACAGTATAGATGTAAATGTACGATGGTTAGCAGTCTTATATTGTAAGAATGGTGTAGAGAAATACTGGAGAAAAACAGCGCCTAAGTAAGTGAAGTCTAAGAAATAAAAAAATGTACATAAAATGTACAGCTGTTTTATTGGTGCCTTTAACACTAGAGGGAGTCATTTTTCAAAAAAGTTCAAATGACGACAGGTTATAACTGTCATGACTTTTACTTGTTGACATTTTCTAGAGTTACACATGATAATGCAGGGAACATACATGTAGTACAATGTGTGTTTGCCTTGGTACATAAAGCGTTTGGTCATTTGGTTCAATTTCATAAAAATCACTATTTGATTTTATTTTATGCAGAAAAAAACATACATTTAAGCTTATGTCAATTTGATTGAGTTTCATAAAAATCAATATTTGATTCAATAAAGGGAGATAAAACTTATCCTAAAGATGACTCATGACTTTCAATTCTACTATGACATGTATGATGAAGTGTCAAATGATCTTATTATTTAAGCTAGCAAGACCAGTATTTATTTGTATGCTGATCTAGTACAAGCATATGAGCTAAAACAAAAGACTACTTGAGCATGTTGAGCTGGAAAATTAACTTTATTCTTATAATAAAATAGAATAAAATAAAATCATATAATTTTTCAGTGCCATGAAAGAGGAAGAAAAAGAGTTACTGAAAGAGAGGCTTATTTCCAACTTCAACGAACCTGTCCATCAGGTATAATTAATTTTGGATAACTAATACATGAATATAATGAGTTCAGGAATACCGTAATCCTCTTGCCAATTCTCTGAAAAATATATAAACAGTTATTCAGCTATCTATAATTATACTGAAAGGAAACAAACAGTTTACTAACTACTTAATGCATATAATCATATTATTTAACTCTACTATAATTTTATATTCATATTGTAATAACTTTGACTCTGTCAGTACAAACAAATGTTTGTTTGTCAAAGGTTGTACTGCGACCTTTACTGGGGATTCAATGTCATTCGTGGTACACCAATTTTGGTGCAGTTTGTGGGTAAAAGTAAACAACAAATTCAAATGTTTAAGAAAGTACAATTTTTCTATATCCTTATAATTTAATTTTGGATGTAACACGTCTTCTGATTGGCTGAAAGCTTTTTGTCTATCAGCTCATAGACATAATTTTGTCATGTGAACGTGACGTCATCAATGCTTTATTCATGATTTACTCCTAAAAAATGGAACTTAGAATTGAATTATATGGAATGACTGTAATATTTTTTTTGTCTTTTCACAATAACCTAAAAAATGTGGTGCACACTTTTAAATAACCAATATGTGGGTTATTCAGTATGCACCACATTTTTGATGTTATTTCTTCATAGACAGAAAAAGAATTACAGTTATTCCTTAAGAATGCAAACTTGGCACAAAATTTGAAATCAAATATCCACTAAAATACTTTTTTTTCTCAACCTGCAAAAAATTGGTAACCAAGAAAATAAATAAATCCACAGTTGTTGTTTACACTTGTCCTTTGGTCTTTGGTAGATTGTTGTCTCATTGACAATTATACACATTTCCTTATTGTTATATTGAACATGTTTAATCAAGCTAAAAACGTACAAATTGACTTATTTGCTTCAAAAGCTGAAATTTTATACATTTCTAGATAGCTTTACAGTTAGCTGTATTGATTGCAAAGATAGCGAGAGTAGACTGTCCTAGAAACTGGTCAAGATTACTACCAGTGCTGTTTGAGGCAGTACGTTGTCACGATGAGCATACACAAGAACAAGCTTTACTGGTCTTACATCATGTGACCAAGACATTAGCATCTAAGAGGCTTCCTGGAGACAGGAAATTGTTTGAAGAGGTAACAACATTATAGTTTCAGTTAACCTTCCCAACAGCAGAATTATTTATACAGAATATATAAATATATATTTTTTATATTTTTATATTGGCATTAAGTTTTTCCCCTATCTGTACGTCCGTCTGTACGTCCCGAAATTGGTTTCAGTTTTCTAACTTTAGTTTGCCTCAGCCAAATGTTATGAAACTTCTACACAAATCTTACCGGTATTACCACAAAACACATATCAAGTTCGATTTTGGGTGGCGTCACTTTTACAGTTTTCTAATTATGTCCTTTTATAACCTTATATGCAAGCGGGGGGCATTGTCTGTGTCCCATGTACACATTTTCCATTTATTTTTATGCCCCACCTAGGAGCATTATGTTTTTCGGTCTGTGCGACCATTCGTTCGTCAGTCCGTCCATCTGTCCCGCTTCAGGTTAAAGTTTTTGGTCAAGGTAGTTTTTGATGAAGTTGAAGTCCAATCAACTTGAAAAATTAGCACATATGTTCCCTTTGACATGATCTTTCTAATTTTAATGCCAAATTAGAGTTTTTACCCCAATTTCACAGTCCACTGAACATAGAAAATGATAGTGCGAGTGGGGCATCCGTGTACTATGGACACATTCTTGTTTATTTATATCTTAGATGTTATTATTTGTTGAAACCAGTATCCCTGACCTAAATTTTAATTTCAAGCAATTTTTATACGACCGCAAAAAAAATTTTTGTGGTCGTATATTGGTATGACGTTGGCGTCGTCGTAGTCGTCGTCGTTGTCCGAAGACACATTGGTTTTCGCACTCTGACTTTAGTTTAAGTGTATGGATCTCTATGAAATTTTACCACAAGGTTCAATACCACAAAAGGAAGGTTGGGATTGATTTTGGGGGTTATGGTACCAACAGTAAAGGAATTAGGGGCCAAAAAGGGGCCAAAAATAAGCATTTTTGTAACTTCCAGACATAACTTGTGTGTTAGTGTATGGATCTCTCTGACATTGTATCACAAGGTTCCATATTACAAAAGGAATGCTGGGATTGATTTTGGGGGTAATTGCCTCAAAATTTTAGGAATTAGGGGCAAAAAAAGGGGCAAAAAACAAGCATTTTTCTAGTTTCATGACAATAACTTGTGTGTAAGTGTATGGATCTTTCTGAAATTGTACTACAAGGTTCCATATCACAAAGGGAAAGCTGGAATTGAGTTTGGGGGTAATTGCCGAAACGTTTAGGAATTGGGGGCCAAAAAGGGGCCAAAAATAAGCATTTTTCTAGTTTCCAGACCATAACTTGTGTTCAAGTGTATGGATCTCTCTGAAATTGTACTGCAAGGTACCATACCACAAAGGGAAGGCTGGGATTGATGATGGGGGTAATTGCCTCAATATTTTAGGAATAAGGGGCCAAAAAGGGGCAAAAAACAAGCATTTTTCTAGTTTCAGGACAATAACTTGTGTGTAAGTGTATGGATCTTTCTGAAATTATACTACAAGGTTCCATATCACAAAGGGAAAGCTGGGTTTGAGTTTGGGGGTAATTTCCCTACACGTTTAGGAATTTGGGGCCAAAAAACACATTTTTCTAGTTTCCAGACAATAACTTGTGTTCAAGTGTATGGATCTCTCTGAAATTGTACTGCAAGGTACCATACCACAAAGGGAAGGCTGGGATTGAGTTTGGGGGTGATGAATCATAAGGGGGTTCAAAAAATTGGGGGGGGGGGATTTTTTTTTTTTCATTTTTTTTCTTCTTTTCCTTTTTTTTTTCTTTTAAAATTTTCCATTTTAAGTTGGTTATTTCAGATTTATATTAAAACGCAAATAATAATGATATGGTAGGAGATACACACCAAACAGGATGTGTAAATTATTATATAATAAGTATTGTGCAATAGCAAGAAATTTTCAATTGCACAGTATTGCACAATAGCAAGAAATCTTCAATTGCACAGTATTGCGCAATAGCAAGAAATCTTCAATTGCACAGTATTGCGCAATAGCAAGAATATCCAATAGCACAATATTGCGCAATAGCAAGAAATTGTCAATTGTACAGTATTGCGCAATAGCAAGAAATATTTAATTGCACAATACTGTGCAAAAGAAGATACTTCTTATAAATTGCTTATTTCTTGACCAATTTCAATGGGGTTTTATTCTTGAATTCTTGGGGTTCTTTAATATGCTGAATCTAACCGTGTATTTAGTTTTTGGATTTTGGGCCCAGTTTTTAAATTGGTCCACATTGAGGTCCAAAGGGTCCAAAATTAAACTTTGTTTGATTTCATCAAAAATTGAATTATTGGGGTTCTTTGATATGCCGAATCTAACCGTGTATTTAGATTCTTAATTTTTGGTTCCGTTTTCAAATTGGTCTACATTAAGGTCCAAAGGGTCCAAAATTAAACTTAGTTTGATTTTAACAAAAATTGAATTCTTAGGGTTCTTTGATATGCTGAATCTAAACATGTATTTAGATTTTTGATTATGGGCCCAGTTTTCAAGTTGGTCCAAATCGGGGTCCAAAATTAAACTTGTTTGATTTCAACAAAAATTGAATATATGGGGTTCTTTGATATGCTGAATCTAACCATGTATTTAGATTTTTGATTTTTGGGCCCCGTTATCAACTTTGTCCACATTGAGGTCAAAAGGGTCCAAAATTAAACTTTGTTTGATTTCATCAAAAATTGAATTCTTGGGGTTCTTTGATATGCTGAATCTAACCATGTATTTAGATTTTGGATATTGGACCATAATAGGTGAATGTCCAATTTAAAATTTTTAAGTTCTTAGACCACATTCATTCTGTGTCAGAAACCTATGCTGTGTCAAATATTTAATCACAATCCAAATGCAAAGCTGTATCAAGCTTAAATGTTGTGTCCATACTTGCCCCAACTGTTCAGGGTTCGACCTCTGCGGTCGTATCAAGCTGCGCCCTGCGGAGCATTTTATTTAAATTTGATTTCTGAATAAAGATTGTTTCTGACTGAATGATATGTAGGATAATCTAAACCTGGTAAAATATGATTTAACCAATACAGGGTCATCTATTAATGGCTATTTTAAGAATAATTGAATTATCTTTGACAAACTACATATGTATATTTGGTAAATTAAAATTAGTGCTTGCCAAAATATGAAATACTGAAAATTCTAATGTTAAATACAGCAACCCCCCCTAAAAAACCAAAACAATATGTGTACGTACTTATGAGCAAAAAGGGAGACATCAACATGATCAAACATTCAGATTACAAAATAAGTAATGGACTCTTTTAGACACATTTATTGTAAATGTAATATGAATGCATTTGATACTAGCATATACATTTTTTGATATTACATGTATAAAAGATCACAATACATAAAATACAAATGACAGCTACTATATCTGTAATATGTAATATAACTATTTGTTACTTACACAGATGTAATATTTATCAATCAAGAAGTTTAGTATGATATGACTCTATAATTTCAATACATGTACCTCATTTATTGATTAGTTGTATTAGTAAACAGGGATGAAGAATCGTTTTAAAATTATTGTCTTCTGTATTATATGGATGAAGATTACCATTTATTCAATAATATATGTTATATTAAAACATTTTAAAAGATGTTATTTTATTTATTTATTATATTGTTATTTACTTTTCTTATTCTTATAAGATTTAAATGCAAATTTATTTCTAATCACTTATATCTATCATTTTAAACAAGCTACATGTATTTATGACAAGATTTACCTTCAACTAAAAAAAAATCAATATTTTGAATTGAGACTTAAAAGTGTTTAGCACGATTGTATTTGTATGTTTTGTGTCAGCTGCTTAAAGTTATAGATTATATAGATATTGACTGACATTAAATGTAACATATGATTTGATCATTTAGAAAGGGGAACTATTAAAATTCACTTAATCATATTTAAAATAGATCAGAACATGTAAATACATTTTGTTATTGCACTCTTCTATTAATTTTCAGCCATTCTGACAAATGCATGCCTGAAATTATGTATTTTCAAAATCTTCATGCATGTCTCAGATGATTTTGGTCTAACTTTGTCTTTAGGATTTTAATTAATATACTTGATTAAAAATTCATTCGGAATATCAGAAAATAAACTAGACTTTATAAATGGCCTTGCGAATAATTTTTTTGTAATTTTTCAGTTAACCAATGATGTGTTTAGTTTTATTCTTGGTCTTTGGACATCTACTCTGGATCAGTTTGGACAATTAGCCCTAAAACAGAGCAACAACTCTAGCAATTCTTTAGATAAAAGTATACTGGCATTAAGAAGTAAGTCTATAAATTCTTCATAAACATTATAACTCGTATGTGTACAGATGCGCAATCCATTTGAGGTAGGCCTTAATGGTAGCCTTTTCTTCAATTCCTCTACTCATATCGTAAACTTGAATATGTATCATGGCTTGTTTCGAAGCTGAGACATTTTCAAATATGTGGTTAGATTTCAGGGTACGAAGTGAAATTCGTTTTTCCATAATTTAGCACACCCCCGAAAAATCCTTTTGTGATGCTGCTTCTCAAGGTAAAAAATTCCTTTTTTCACACAGTAAGTTCTTTGAAAATTTAGTTCTTTGCATACATTTAATAATTCCATAGTTTTTACATCTTTATTCTATGGTCCTCTGCTCTCCAAATCAGCATAAATGGTTAAACACAGTCCCTCATTATGAATTGAAACTTGTCCAATATCACTACACAGAGATTTTTTGTTTACACACTAAATTTGTACTTTCGTGTTCCTCAGTTTGAGGCACATTAGGGATATTGACCCATATATGTAATACAATGAGATGTGGGGTATATGTAAATGAGACAGGTTGACAGGTATATATAAATGAGACAGGTTGACAGGTATATATATGGAGCATGTAGTTCATTGGTTGTCGTTGGTTCATGTCTGTTGTATTTGTTTTTCATAAATTGTTTTGTTATGAATTAGGCCGTTAGTTTTCTCAATTGAATCGTTTCATATTTTTCATGTCAGGGCCTTTTATAGCCGACTATAGGTTATGGGTTTTTCTCATTATGAAGGAAGTATGGTTGCCTATAATTGCTGAAATTCTACTTCATTTGAACTTTGGTGGAGAGTTGTCTCATTGGCAATCAGACCACATCTCCTTATTTTTATAATGATAGTATTGGGCACTATGTTTTCAAAAAAAGTATCCACTCTCTAAATTTCAAACCCCATGGAGCTGGATAATGAAACTTGACTTGATTATTCATGTCTTCTAGAAGGTTTGCTGCATACAAGAAAAAAAATCGTACACTGAAAACCAAAGTCAAACCTTAGTTCGACAGTGCATTAGTACAAATATTGTTTCTGCTCTCTAAACCACTTGCATGTGGAGTTTGGTAATGAAACGTGACATGATTATTCCAATTTCTAGAAGGTGGGTCTCATACAAAAAGAAAACCCTACAGTGAAAGTCATAGTCGAAAACTTAATTTAACTTTGCCACCCCTGTACATATGTACAAAACTCCCATTTCTGATCTGTTACTTATAAACCCCTTTGAGTTCAGCAATGAAATTTGTCATGATTTTTCCCAACTACATGTACCAAAAGGTGTGTCCAGTACAAGGAAGGAAAACAGACTTTGAAAGTCATGATCCAAAACTTATTTCAACTTAACTATACAAAAATTATTTCAACTTTCTAACTTAAAAGGCCATTAGCTACTAGATATAAAAAAATACTAAAATATGATTTTTTTTGGTTCAATCTTTAATGAAAGTAAAATAGTGAAATAATAATGCGCTTTTATCAGCCAGTTTGGTTCAATATTGTCAAATAAGGAAAGAAACATCATTGATGATCGCTGATGAATTATTCACTTGCAAGTGAATAATTCGACCTCATTGAATCCGTATTCATGTGACCTTTAATTTAACCCCTTATTTAGCTAGAGTTGGGTTACGTATGATTTACACGTGTTCAGTTATGAAAAGGAAAGAATATCAACATTGAAAGTGAAACAAGGGTAAACCATTTGATTGACTGATTCGATCCACAAAAACTCATACTTATACAGGTACATGTAAACACGATGATTAACATATATTTGTAACCTATAATATTAAATCAAACAGACCTAGAAAAATCCCTTTAAAGGACAGTTTCAGTTTGTGGATGAATAAGTGCTGTATCAGAAAATTTCTACCTTCTGTATCTATGTTTTATTGAATAAACTATCACAATTTTCTTGTTTCCTAATACTTACCGTAAATGAGGCCCTCTGTGGTCATTTTTAACATCTAGTTAACATTATAATCTAAACCCTTCAGATAACAAAAATATATTTATTTCAAACAATTTCTTTTCAGTTTTAAGGAAGCAGACAGCATTTGGATTCAAAGAACCTGGAGAAAATGCAGATGTTAATATTTTCCTCAAGCAAATATTTACAAGGTTTAAGCAAATGTTGGATTGTAGTGAGTTTTTTTTAGATTTTAATGGAGATTTATAATATTAAAAAAGTAGCATCATGGTACCCCATGCTTATTGTACAATTTAGCATTGAAAATCAGTCAATAGATATTTCAGCAATACATTATGACTGTATACTAGCATATTAGATTTACAGTTCAATAGGATACACTGATTTTGATACTAATTACACAATGAAATTCCTTGTTACTTTTTCAACAGCAGTAAAACATTTGAAATATATATTATACTAACAGAATAGGGAAGAAAAACATTTATTTACTTCAGCTAAGTATCTTTATACCTGTTTATTTTACAGGACAAAGTATGTGGGGCAATCACCAGGTGATAGAAAAATGTGAAAAAATGATCATCCTTATGACAAAAGTGGTAAGTTACTCTGATGTTTTAAAATATCCTTTACATTTCCATAGATTTTTTTTAGAGCTGTTCCATCAATAAATACATACATGTTTTTTGTTTATTGTTTTGTACATAAATCAGATCGTAATTTTCCTCATTTAAATTGTTTTCATTTGTCATTTTGGGGCATTTTAAAGTTGTAATGGGTAAGGGTTTTGCTCATTGTTGAAGGCTGTACAGTGACCTATAATTGCTTACTCCTACATCCTTTGATCCCTGGTTGGAAGTTGTCTCATTGACAATCATACCACATCTTCTTATTAGTCCCCTACCGACGAAGTCGTAGGGGACTTTAGGTTTGCACTCCATCTGTCTGTCTGTCTGTCTGTCTATCTGTCTGTCTATCCGTCAGCCCGGCAAATAAGTTTTTCACACTTTTTATGCCCCCGCCGTAGCGGAGGGGCCATTAAGTTTTACCCTTTTCCGTCGGTACGTCCCAAAGTTGGTTTCTGTTCTCAACCAAATGATATGAAACTTATACACAATACTTATTACCACAAAATACAGATCAAGTTTGAATTTTGGTTGTGTCACTTTAACTGTTCTAAAGTTATGCCCCTTTACAAATGGAAAAATTGCTGAATTTTTTGTTTCTGTTCTCTAACTTAAGTTTGCTTCAACCAAATGTTATGAAACTTATACACAATGCTTATTACTACAAAACACAGATCAAGTTTGATTTTTGGTGGTGTCACTTTAAACGTTCTAGAGTTATGCCCCTTTACAAATGGAAAACTTGCTGAATTTTTGGTTTCCATTCTCTTACTTAAGTTAGCCTCAACCAAATATTATGAAACTTATACACAATGCTTATTACCACAAAATACAGATCAAGTTTGATTTTTAGTGGTGTCACTCTTACTGTTCTAGAGTTATGCCCCTTTACAATGGAAAAATTGCTGAATTTTTCGTTTCCCTTCTCTAACTTATGAATAAGTTTGCCTCAACCAAATGTTATGAAACTTATACACAATACTTATTTCTACAAAACTCAGATTAATAACAAATTTGGGTAGCATCACTTTTACCGTTCTTCAGTTATGTCCCATTATAACTTTAAATGATATGCAAGCGGGGGCATCATCTGTGTCCCATGGACACATTCCCCATTTATTTTCTTCATGCTTGATGATATTGATTTGATATTTAGTGAATTGTTTTATCATGACAAGTTACAGATCAAGTTCGAATTTTGTTCCGGTCTGATGATTTTGGTTAGAGTTATGGTCCTTTGACTTAGAAAATTCACTGAAATAATCAGTTTTCTGCACTTTTTTTTGTTGTCATTTTGAAGATATTGATTTGATAATTGGTATATAGTTTTATCATGACAAGTTACAGATCAAGTTCGGATTTTGTTCCGGTCTGATGATTTTGTGCAGAGTTATGGTCCTTGGACTTAGAAAATTCACTTAAATAATCAGTTTTCAACACTTTTTTTCGTCATGCTTGAAGATATTGACTTGATATTTGTTATATAGTTTACACCATGACAAGTTATAGATCAAGTTAGAATTTTGTTCCAATACAATGAATTTTTAACCAGTAGGGGACTATGTAATTGTATTGCCATGCAATACTCACAGAATGCTTGTTTTTGTATAGGGAAGGTACTTGAAAATTAAGGAACCACCCATACAAGCAATTGTAGAGATCTGCATATATTTTAATTGCATATGAATATATCACATTCATTCCTATGGGCAAATTCAAGTTGCCTTCCTTGGGTCCCATGTTTGTTTATATGGAATAGGAATTAATGCTGAAAATAGACAATTTATACATGTGTATTCAAATCAAGGTCTTATTGTCAGTATTTATTTTGTCATATTTTGTATAGGGTCTGATTTTCTTGTTGATATAGAAACATAAGATATTAGGTCACAAACATTTCTAGCAGCTATGTATATACACAAAAGAATGTAGCCTTATCTTTTAAGTTGTTTATGTTTGATACTTAGTGCTTTTTACACCTGTAGAACTTGATATATTATTGGTTTTAAGCCTGCAAACATATTTAGTGTTAAGAGTTAAAGGTGGTACCAAACACCTTGACTAGAACTAATTTTGCTCGTTTAATTTTCATAAAAATGTTGACAAAATATTTACTTTGACCCTGTGACATAAATATTAAAATTTCAAAAAACTTGAACCACACACTTTATCGGAAAAAATTTCATTGGATATATAGCAGTTTGACAAACACTAATTTTGATCATTGAGAAGCTTAATATTTCCTTAACAATAGAACGTGATTAAAACGTTCAGCTGATTTTTACAGAGTTATCTCCCTGTAGTGTTATGTAACACCTTAAACTGACAAATTGTTGACAAGCATTCTAGAAATATAGTATGTATTAATCATATACACACATCTCTGTTCTTTGGTCTTTATGGATAGTTGTCTCATTGACAGTCATATTGATCACATCTCCTATTTTCATATAGAAACTTTTCTGCAGAAAAAGCGTATCCTTTTTTCAATTTTTCAAGAGTTATATTCAATTGCATCCTAGCTTAATAGATTAATTTAAAAAAAACCAGAATCCTCACATAATTGTAAAAGCAATGTAATTCTATTTTGAATTAAGGTTGTGAACTTGAAGAGAAATAGTTGCTTCTTATTTTCAGTCTGCAGCAACAGTAAGGAAAAAGACATAATTAATAACAATATTGATATTTAACAATACATAATTTACTTTCAGTTGTTAGATTTGGTTGATATGCATCCTGTTACATTTATACCATTGATAAGACCATCATTAGAATTAACAGTAGCTTATAACTTCTCACAGACAGAGAAAGGTAAGCAAATAGATTGTTTCCTAGTTTGTTTTCTATTCTCCTCTAAAGTCAATGTATTATGTAGGTTTGTATTTACTAATTGATGAGGTAGATAGTAATTTGATTTGTTACTGCACACCAGTACACATGATCATATATCAGAAGTTTTATATTATATAGCATTAATTGCCCTTCCCAATATGAAATTCAAGGATTTAAAAAAAAAAGATTTTTGATAGTCAATGCATTGTACTAAGCGATGAAATTCTGAAAATTGGATATCAAACAATTCATGTACATTTTCATTTGAGTAGTCTTTTCGATACCCATCCAAAATTTGATATCGGAATGCCATCAACAATTTCAAACTGTCCAAAGGACAGATTTATGCTAAAACAATAAATAAAAAACAGATATCACAGACAGCAAATGATAATAACAGCTGATGTATGTTAAATGGAACAGCCTTAAAAAGGTGTTAAGGGATCAGGAAAGTCATGAATTCATGAAGATTTTAAGAAATAACTCATATGAGGGCTATTCCATTAAAATGTATGTGGGAGGGTAGGAAGGGAAGTTTAATTATTGAAGGTGGGTAATGGGTCTTTTTATGCCCCTGCCTTAGCAGTGGGGGCATTAAGTTTTTCCCTTGTCCGTCTGTACGTAAGTCCGTCCATACTTCCCAAAATTGGTTTCTGTTCTCTAACTTGAGTTTGCCTCCACCAAATGTTATGAAACTTATACACAATGCTTATTACTACAAAACACAGATCAAGTTTGAATATTGGTGGTGTCACTTTAACTGTTCTAGAGTTATGCCCCTTAATAAATGGAAAAATTGCAAAATTTTTAGTTTACGTTCTCTAAATTAAGTTTGCCTCAACCACATTTTATGAAACTTATACACAATGCTTATTACCACAAAACACAGATCAAATTTGAATTTTGGTGGCGTCACTTTAACTGTTCTAGAGTTATGCCCCTTTATAAATGGAAAAATTGCAAAATTTTTAGTTTCCGTTCTCTAACTTAAGTTTGCCTCAACCAAATGTTATGAAACTTATACACAATGCTTATTACCACAAAACACAGATCAAGTTTGAACTTTGGTGGCATCACTTTAACCGTTCTAGAGTTATGCCCCTTTATAGATGGCAAAATTGCAAATTTTTATTTTCTTCTAAATATCAAGTAATTTTTATACGTATGTGTATTTTTGCGGTCGTATATTGGTATGACGTTGGCGTCGTCGTTGTCCGAAGACACATTGGTTTTCGCACTCTAACTTTAGTTTAAGTGAATGGATCTCTTTGAAATTTTACCACAAGTTTCCATACCACAAAGGGATGGTTAGGATTTGCTTTGGGGGGTTATGGCTCAAACCATTTAGGAATTAGGGGCAAAAAAGGGGGAAAAACAAGGTTGTCCTGGTTAGTGGACAAATACTTTAGTACAAAACATAATTTAAAGCAGTGTAAGGGAGATAAATCAAATACATCATTTGAATTACCTCCCTTACACTGCTTTTAAATTATGTATAAAGTAATGGTTAATGAACAATTAAGATAATTTAAAACAGTGTAAGGGAGGTAATCCAAATACAACGTTTTGGTTACTTCCCTTACACTGCTTTTACGTAATGTTTAAAGAAATGCATATTTATAAAGGAAGACCAGTAAAAATATCTGCAAATGCTGCATCTTTTTTTTTTACAAAAAAATCCATATGAAAGATTTGACACCATATTTTAAATTCTATTATAAAATAGATTAAGTTAGCACTATGGTAAATTTAAATGGGTAATTATGGTTGCAAACTCCATTGGAAATTTGAATTGAGATTATGACCATATCTTGAGGGAAAGAATTTTTTGGGGGAAAAAAAGGGGGGGGGGGGGTAAAAAGAAATTGTGGGGGGTCAATTTTTTCTCATTTCAGATTTCAGAAATTAAAAAGAATTATTCTTCAAATATTATTTTTTTTCAAATTTCAAATATTGAAAAATTTCAAGAAGTAATCTTTAATTGCACAGTATGGCGCATTAGATTTGTAAAATCTTTGACCACATTTATTTATTTGTTATGCCGAATCTAACCGTGTATTTAGATTTTTAATTTTGGGTCCAGTTTTCAAATTGGTCTACATTAAGGTCCAAAGGGTCCAAAATTAAACTTTGTTTGATTTTAATTTCAGTATGCGTCTATTATCATTATGCAAAATTATCTAAAAAATGGTTCTTGGTTGTAGGGATATTTTGAAAGTCCCTTCCTACCCTCCCACATACATTTAAATGGAATAGCCCTGAAGAATTACCAAAAATATATGACAGCACAGCATACATACCACACTAGCTACCAATTATCCGACTCCTGCACAAAATGAATGTACAAACAAAGACAACAACTATGAATATTTTGAAGTGTGTACCGGTACTAACCTCACTTTGCCTATATAGACCATATGTCATAACCTCACTTTGCCTATATAGACCATATGTCATAACTTCACTTTGCCTATATAGACCATATGTCATAACCTCACTTTGCCTATATAGACCATATGTCATAAAAGTAAAACACACAATAAAAAACCACCTGCACTGTCCAGCTACCAACAGGATGACCACTTACTTGGAACTAAGAAATAAAACTATATACCCACATATATATTGTTCTGTCACTAAAAAATATTATTTCATCAGATAGCAAGAATGTTTAAAAGTTATAACAAACAAACCTTCTCTATAGGCTTACTATTTTTTTTTAGAAAGCTTTGATGATTTTTCATAACTAAAAATAATTTGTATCTAATTCATTTCGATTTGTTTTATATTGTAGGTCTGTTATTTGAGAAGTTTACAGTGAATTGTTTTAATTTGATGAAGTCTATAGTATTGTGTGATATGTACAAACCATTACGGAACTCATCAGGTAAGTATGAGTTGGAAACAGCTTTTTTCTTCTTTTTTCCTTTGCCCAGAACATGTAGAAGGGCTAATTTTTTGTTGATTTCTGTTGGATAAAAGAACTTCTTGACCCAATCTTATGAAGTTTTACTTATGATGTGTTTAATAAATTGAAATACTTTTAGGTATTGTAGTTGTAAAAAGTCATGACATTAAATGATGTTAAAGAGCACTTGGTACATAATTTTTTGTAATAAGTTTAGATGTTATAATTTCATATATTCTTAAATATTAAAAGATATTACTATATTTCAGATTTAACAGAACCTATGAGACAAGAAGCATGTAAAATCAAAACAGAATTTTTCACATTCTCTACCTTGTCAGAAATATGTCGAAGATTAGTGTCACAGTATTTTTTATTGTCCTCTGAAGATCTGAATACTTGGGATACAGATCCAGAAGAATTTTGTAAGTATTTCAGATCTGATGACCGTAATTGTCATGTAACAAAGGTCTACATAGAATTAAGAAAGACTAAGTATTTAACATATGCTATACTCAGTATTGAATTTATTTTATAGTTTTACTCAGATATCAGTCTGCTTGGTCAATTATATGCCTATAAAATTTCTATCAGAATTTAGAAGTCTATGATTAAATTTGAAACATATGGAATTATTTTTTTTTTAATTACAGGTCAAGAAGAAATAGGAGATTCTTATAGATATTCAATAAAGGTAAAACTAAAAACATAAACATTCCAGATTATTCTAGAACAGTTAACAATTAACAAATCTGGTATGATTACCAATGAGACAAACTGTCCACCAAAGACCAAAGGACTATAAGATCTACAGGTTACCATAGTGTCTCTTATAAAGTCCCATAGCACAATGTTTACTCCAAAATGATTGGGTAAACCAATGTAAAAAAATGCAAATGCATAATAATGGTCTTATATAATCCAATAGAATCCAATAAAAAAACCTAGAATAATAGGCAGCACTAGCTCCTAGAGTAGGGGTTTTGGTTAACTATGATTGTGGGCAAACAAACCTTTCCCTGAACTGGGACAGTAATGTAACAACACGACAATGTCTTAATCTGCAAAAATTAACTGAAATTCACAACTCAACAGCAGCTGTCTAAAATTAATTGTTAGTTTTTACTGAAATATTCATGACACTTATTTATTGTTGTAAATTTAAATCATGAGAACAGTCACACAACAACTGTAAAAAAAACTTGTCATGACCTATATTGAGTAAAAAAATCCATTCATAGCACAATCATTTTAAAGATGAATTTTGAGTATTCATACACTTGTTTTCCCCCCAATTTTAAAACATATTACATGTATTCATTGAAAATATTCAAAAAAATAATCTTTTTTCTCTGATTTTTACTTAATAACAATAATTATCTAGCTGTATAAAATTTATTCGGGTTCCCATTTCTACTTAATAACCCATTCAAAAATTATTTGAATATTCATTGTTTTTAAAAATATTAATCAAATCATTGCCTAAATGTTTAGTCACATGATTACAAGGTAGCATTTTGAAGGAAATGTTCTGAGGGGTCTGCTTACCATTTTTGAGAATCTGAGATCGCCCTAATTTTTTGGTGGGGTTCATGTTAGTCAGTCTTTAGTTTTCTATGTTGAGTTTTAAATACTGTTGTTTGTCTTTTGATTGTTTTTCATGTTTTAGCCATGGCATTGTCAGTTCGTTTTCGACTTATGAGTTTGAATAATCGTTTGGTATTTATTTTTACCCTGCTTTAAAAAAAGGGGGGTATACTGTTTTACCTCTGTCTGTCCATCCGTCCGTCAGTCCATCCATCCATCTGTCAGTACATCCTTCCATCCATCCATCAGTCATTCTGTCCCATGAATATTTTTCCTCGCATCTTTCTCAGGAACTACATTACAAGGATTTCTGAAATTTGGTTTCAGGGTTTATATAAGTCAGCTATACCGTTTGATGCGTTTTCAGATTCATCACTCAACAACTTCCTGTTTATGGAACACTTGTATCATTTTACACATGAAAGCCAAGTTGAAAATTTTCATCACATTTTCCTCAGGAACTACACTACAAGGATTTCTGAAATTTGGTTTCAGGGTTTATAGAAGTCAGCTATACCGTGTGATGCGTTTTCAGATTCATCACTCAACAACTTCCTGTTTACGGTCAAGTATTTGGGCTGGGGGTATCATCAGTGAGCAGTAGCTTGCAGTTTCACTTGTTGTCTCTCTTTTTCAAACCTCTTTCCTGTATTTTTGTTATTTACCTGATTTGCCGTTCAGAAGGTAATGGGGAATTTTAATGATGTTAAATTACTGATACAGTTAGAGAGATGTTTACGATACTACCTATAGATAAAATAGAGTTGTCTTCCTTACTTTTTACATCATTTTACTTAAAGCTTCATATCTGATTGTTTGCATGAATGCTCTGTAATGTTTAAATGATCAAAACGAAGCGTTAACCAGTTTAGTACACATTAGGGAGTTTTCTATGACTATTAGTTGTATTTTAAGCTCCAAATATTTATCTGTGTATTGTCTCTTAGGGTTATTAATATTTTTCTATGGAAATACTTTTTTGCCGGCTGTTATAAAGTTTATTGAATATTTTATCCTCCATGAAGAACAAATTAGGCAGTATTTCAGAGGAAAATAAAGTATTTAAGACATGTATAGTCTTATTGATCTAGAATATTGATGAAAATGGACCATTACTAAAATCTTAGGTTATTTGACGAGCTGGGTTGGTGATAAACTTTCTGGTGATTAGATATGTTCCCATGTGTTACCATATGTGAAAAATGATCAGGTATGAAATAGGAATAAGGTATTGCACTTAGGATTTGAAATAAATGATGATGTATTAAACATGTTGTTTTTTTTACTTCACTTATGTTTTTATTTTTGCCTTGTTGTGTATCTTTGCTTTCTCCAATTTTTTTAAGAGAACAGACTTGTTTTCATCCTGGATATCTTTTTTCTTTATTGCAGCCCTGTACAGAGACTTTGTTTTTGGCATTATTTAAAGAAAATAGAATGTCGTTATCACCAGTATTGATAGAAATGGTACACCAAATACAACTGACCAGTGATCCAAATGACATAATGGCTGTCCTAAGAAAAGATGCAGGTATGTAAGAAATGATATAATGGGGTTTCATTGTTTTTGTGTGATATTGGCATGGATTTCTTGGGTACAGGGAACTCACAAATTTAGATATTTAATGAATTACAAATTTTCTATAGAAAAAATAACACAAAATCAAATATCCACGAAAAATGCATGTTTTCCTTAATCCATCAAAATTGGTACTCAAGGAAATTAAAGAATCCACAATAAGTGAAAAAAAATCAGACATCTTTAACAATCTAACTGGTTATGGTAGGGTTATGCTGGTCAAAATACCTATTTGTTCATGCTTCAGAGGCTGCAAAAAAAAAATTAAGTTTGTGTTTTTTAACTTTAGTTCTATAGAGCATTACCCTAGTGTAAGTTATAATTAAATTAAATATATAATGAACCTTAAGATACTGTAGAATCACTCTAATTTGTGTATTATTATAATGAGTTTATACTGTCACTTTTGATTTTTGTCAATGTTCTGTTATCAGTGTATAATGCTGTAGGACTGTCGGCCTTTGACTTGTTTGATGATATAAACTTTGATGATTGGTTTACAAGTCATCTGTTGTCTGAAGTACAAAATAGACATGTAAAGTAAGTATATCTACTTCGTCTAGGCTTTGTACTACATACTCTCATCATATTTACTTGTATCAAATATGAATTTCAATCTGTTTTACATTTATGTAATGAGTGCTTCGATACTGACATGATTTTTTGCATACTTTTAAATTTTCCTTTGATGAAATTATTAATTATTGAGAAATTTAGGTTAAACCTCTCTCAGGCAAATTTGACCTTAAAAGAATTTGGCTATTCTTTTAAAGTCCCTTTTGGTCATATAGCTCATAACTTATTCAATTATTTATACATCCTCAGATTTCATTTTTTTTGGTGTGATGAAGGTAAATCCAGAAAAGTGCTTTAGACTCGCCAAAAATATAAAGTGTTAAGTACACTTAAGACATTTTCTGGTTCACAGGAGAATATACTGTCAAGTAAGGGTTGTATTATAATTCAAACATAAGTTTTTAACATGAAAGAAGATAAAAAGATTAAGGGAAGATCAAGGCTTCCAAAATTTTGTTGAGCCAGCCGGACATTTCATATCTTATCCCGATTTTAAATCCCTTTAGACTTAGAAAATTAGGCAACTATGATAATCAGTTGGCCATCATATATGATATAACCAATGATTGACATTAAAACGATGTTAAACTTTACTTTGATATAAATTCGATGTTCTGACGTAAAGTGTTAAATTGAAAGTGCAGCATTCGAAGTGTGCAACATCAGCGTACTAATTCCGCTTTAGACTCTTTATTTGTGCAAAATAACGCTGTCAAAAGCTTTACTTTTGTTTTTAAAATCACATTTTCCTAATGCCGGATGTTGACTTGACAATGGTAAATCACGGATCAGAGACGGATACATAATATCCATGTAAGAAAATACTCGAAATGAACGTTAGATAAAGGAATCAATGATAATTTTAGCATTATTGAAGAATTAGGATGCATAATTAAATTTCCCACCAGCGGACAATAGACACATGCGCACAAGTGTACTAGTTCAAACAACGTGGTTCTGACGATTATTCGTTTAAAACCTTTTCAAATTTTTCATCAAATCATATTTATTAACGTATTTATTATAATTTCAATCTTTAAGACTAAATTAATTAGATGTAACCCGCTGAAATGTAAGAAAATAACTTTGAATACCCTTTAGCGTACCCCAGTATTTAACACGATGTACAGTGTTTTTAAATATAATAATGAATTTCATACATATTCGAATTCATTTATAAATATTCTTATTTGAAGAATTATTTTAAAATCTAAGGAAATTTTTTTAAAACTGAATGGTCATTTACAATAATATCTACAAAGCCTAATTAAGTAGGATGTTGTTCCATACACGCTTACATGTTTGACCTCGTTTACCTGATCACCTTTATAAGACAAGCTAAGGTCTCTCATCAAAGATAATGACCTGTAATCAGTGAATGATTTATGGCTTCAATATTACTTATTGAAGGGATAATTGTTTGACAGCTTCTTGTTTTTTAAATAAAAGAACAAATTTTTTTTTCTACTTTTTATTGATGTACAAAGCCGTGCATTTGTGTACCCAGAGGATTAGACTAACTGAGACACTTCAAAGTATGAAATATGCTGCATCTGTTTAATTAAACCCAAATATGACCGAAATATCTTTGTGAAATAGATTGCCACAATTATAAACTATAATGCCCAAACGGACATTTTTACCGATCGATAGTTGGTAAAAAAAGTGAAATGACCGTTTTATAAAAATGCCTTGAATAACAAAAAGTGGCAAACCTATGATATTTGACCGTTTGAGGCTGAGAGCAGCCGGACTTTTTATATAAATTTCGGTCAAGTCCGGAATATATGACCGTTTTGGAAGCCATGGGGAAGATATACCTAAGACATTACACTCCTAAGTGAATAGTATAAAGCATTTTTGGAAACTGGGGCGTCCTTATTTTACCATGAGTCCTCGGAAAACACACAACACTATGTATGTTCTGTAGATATAGTAAAAAGAATATAAATATCTATTTGTAATATATACCAAAAGATAATGGTTCACCTTAAAAACAAGGAAAGTTAGATTAAATGTGCTAGGTTCACGTTCAATAGACTTTATAGCATTTTGGGAATCTTTGTCATTGACTAGGAATCTTTGCGACATTTGAACATTGATGTCATACAATCACTTTTCATTGATGCGTCACACATTTTCTCTTATGACATTAAAATTTTACAAGAATGTTTGCGATGGCATGTAATGGCAGACAAATAACAATAAGATGTATAGGTTAATCAATAAGAAATAAAAAAGATGGAGAACCAGTGAAAACTTTATAATCATAAATTACCACTTATTTTACAGTTACAGAATAATTAGAAGACGTGTGATATGGTTGTGTGGACAGTGGGTAGGAGTTAAGATGTCACAAAACCTGAGACCTAATTTGTACCAAGCTTTGATACCTCTCCTGGCAAAAGAGGAGGATTTGGTTGTGAGATTAGAGGCTGCTCAGACACTGAAAACTGATATCCTTTTCAAAAATCCCAATAGAATGATTTATGAGGGTCTGTATGGGGTCTTTCAATTCTGTATTCTTTAATTTTTTAAGCCATTTTTCTCTATTCTTTATAAACTTTGTCCATTATTCTCTGTTCTTTATATTTTAGCGCTCCATTATTATCTATTCTTTATTTTTTGGCCTATTTTTCTCTAATCTTTATTGTTTTGGGTCATTTTTCTGTAGTATTAACCCATTATTCTCTATTATTCTGTAAACCCCATCTAGACACTTATTTATAGCTTTTAGCTTAATATGATAGGTGTACACGTTTTTTCTTATTTACAATGAACACAAAGTAAAATACAAAACAATGAATTTTCACCCATTTTCCAAAATTTAGTATAATTTCATTAGTATTTGTTTGTCATTATTGATGAACGATGGAAAATTGATCATGTTTTGATCTCTCTTTTTATATAATATTCCTTAACAGTATTACCAGTGGATGATTTTGAATTTAGTGTGGATCAATTTTTACCAGTAAGTGTGATTTAATATAAATGACATTAAAAATTTGCAGTATTTTTACATTACATAACCTTTCACATCCCTAAATAAATAATGCAGATAATATACAAGCTTTAGATATAAAAAAAGTAGTCAATATAGACATAGATTATGAAAAGAAAAAAGCCTTGCGTAGAAGAAACAAATACAAAAATATTTTGTCAACCTCTCCTATCAGGGTGTTTATTTTTCTTATAGACAATGAGTGGATTGCTTGTTCTCATATATATCAAAGTTTAATTATGATGTTAATGTTACTATTCTCTAATGGTTGACCACATTAATACATCTTTATGATACTGGCTCAGTACTATATGTTACAGTTCTAAATAAAAACAATATTCTAAAGAAGACAGAGAGTTTATTAGAAGACCAAATTTCATTGTCATGACATTTCTGTAAATGCCTAACCAACCTTTTTTTCAGTTTTTGGAAACCTTGTTCTCCTTGTTGTTTCAACTACTACAAGAGGTTAGAGAATGTGATACAAAAGTAAGTATGTGTAATATGAAAAAATCTTTTATTTCATTTCAATAAATATATGTATTAGAACCATTCTTCTTTCTTATTTCAGATAACCTTTTGAAATATTTTTTTGTTAACTTTTTTTTTTAAGTGAAAAAAAAAACAAAAAACACTTCTCATTTTCATTTTTGCATTTTTAGCTTGAGCTTTATTTTGATAATGCTTTTCAAGATATCGGGTGATACTCAACTCCCCACGAAAGAAAAAAAAGGATCTATGAAAATTAGGCAAAAATTTGTATATTATTTTTTTTGTCCTTACTTTTATGTATAAATATCAACATGAAGACAATATAAGAAAATTTTGTGGAAAAATATTGAAAGTAAAATAATAAGCATCTCAATAATGAGGTCAGTTTTCTCAAGTCTTAAGTGTGACAATTATATACAATTTTGGCCGTATGTAAACATAAACTTAATACTCTTACCATATAATAGAAAAACAAAGGATATGGGGTATCCATTCATATGTTCTTTCTTGAGATTAGAATTGAATGTATTTCCAGATGCAAGTTTTACATGTGATATCATTTGTGATTGAGAGAGTTGGACCAAAGATACAACAATATGCCACAGCATTGATCCACTATCTACCAGCTTTGTGGCAAGAGTCAGCCGAACATAATATGTTACGATGTGCTATACTTACTACACTCATTCATCTTGTACAAGTAAGTCTGTAAACAAAATATTGATATTGTAAACCAACTAATTTTTGCAAGCGATTTATATTTGCAATTTTAGCGATTAGAAAAATAACGCAATTTTAATTGTCGTGAATATGTGAAATTTGGATCTTACCTAAATAAATAAATATACAAAGAAATTGAGAAGATCGCGAAAAATAAATGGCTGTAAAGTTGGCTAGAAAGAACTTAATGCTAAATAAAGTATGCACGAAAATAAGTTAGTTAAAAGTATATGTATTATGTATAATGTTATGAAATGAACAATAAGAATGGTTTAATATTGAATCTTGTTGAGAAAATATGAAACTCATCTATTTTGTATATCATACCATATTGGATCAGAGTTGGACATGATATTACCATGACACTGAAACATTTTCAGCAGTTTTTGTCTGTTTTATTAAATTCAGACATAATTGCTAATATACTATTCATTTTGACCTGGAAATATATTTTTTATGAATTTAAATTAAATGAATAATGGTGTTTTCCCCCTTAGATGACAATGTAGATTTCTAGGCGTTAATAATTTATAACAAATAATGGTAAAGTTATTCCTATTTTGCCTTCCATTTTAATGTATAAACCTTTGATATAAATATTTTGAGATTCAAACTATTAATTTCAGGGATTTGGTACCAGTTGTTCATGTATGTTTAATTTCCTGCTGCCTGTGATACAAATGTCTACTGACGTGACACAAGACCAGTATATATATCTTGTAGAAGATGGCGTAGAATTATGGCATGTCACTCTACAGAATACATCAGTTTCTACAGACCATATGCTACAGCTGTTTTCAAATATGACTGGTTTATTAGGTATGGATATGCAAGATGATTGTGGTTATGTTTGATGGCTGTTTAATGTCCAATTTCAAGTTAAACTACATAATCAGGACTAGAACATGTAAATGTGAAGTACATAAAAACCCTGCTTTGTACAAGACTGACACACTGAGCTAGGGTTTTAACATTCTGGTTAACAGGGTAACAGCTTACATGAAGACATGTGCCCTTACCCTGATACAGTATTTTGACTTTGAGAAGGCCAGTCTTTGCTCTTACACCTAAATGCAACATGTTTAACAGAAAAAACTCTTTGGTTTGATCGTGGAGGTCATATTAATGACCTCTTGCTGTCTGAGCTAGCACAAATGGTGGTTTTGATATACTAGAGCAAAATTTACAGAAATGAAAAGTAAAATTTATGAACAGAACTGATTACATCAATAACAGGGACTGTCTTAATCCTTCTGTGAGATGAGAGTTCTTTTTCTCATCATTTAAAGCTCACTTACTACCAGTAACTATGAACAAAGGGAGATGGGGTATACATTTATGAGGCAGCAACCCAATGACAAAAATAACTACAAGACATTTAGAGGGCAAAATTCAGTCTTCAACAATAGACAGAAGTCTTTAATACAATATGTCAAACTCCAAATAATACAGAGGTTTTATTGTACATTTTAAAATGTCCACAAAACAAACATAAATCTATACTTTGTCAGATCCCCTAAAGATTTGGAGACAATATACACTTGTAAGTCAAGATAATGTTTTGTAGCAGTCTCATAAATAACTATCCTGTAAAGAACAGCTTCAATATGAATTAGTTGAGGAATGCTGTTATAATATTATTGTTCTGTAACAATCAACTTTTAGTAGTACCGTCATATCTTCAGCTTTTGATTTTTCAATGGTGAAATGTATGTTGTTGAGGAGAAAATATGAAGCGTATTAACTATCTTAGAAATTGATTAATTATTCTTCTTAAAAATATATAAAGTTTTAGATCTTTACAAGTTCCGTGTCATAAACACATCAAGTAGGGAAACAATAAAAAGAATGTGTATGTTTATATTTTTACAAATTGAATCAAGTGGGATAATATAGGTCAATAACTGCAAATTAATATTATTATCTCCCTTTTACCATTAAACTATTTTTTACAGAACTTGGAACAGAAAATTTACGGATGTGTCTAAAAGTTATAGAAGATTACATCCTGTTATGTCCTGTTGAGTTTATGCAGGTATGTTATTATACAGCCTCTTCTGAAAAGTGGGTATTATGGTTTTTCATTGTCTGTCCCATGTTTCTGTCCGTCCTTGAAACTTAGTTGTATTTTTCTCAGAAACAACAAATCGTATCTTAATGAAATATTGTAGCAAGCTTTTTGTTAGCATGTTATACTGTGTGATTGCATTTTCACATTCATAGTTCATCAACTTCCTATTAACATAATACTGTAAATTCAGAAATTATTGCCTGCATTTATTATTGCGAATTTTGTGCAATGGACTAAAATGCAAGATTAATTATTGCGATTTCAGGAAAATCTTCATACAGTTACACGTATCAGATATAAGAATGCAAATTCTTATTATTGCGATACTCATTCAGTCGAATTATTAGCATTAATAAAAACATCGCAACAATTTCTGAATTTACAGTTTTTATATATTTTTAAACATAATGTCAATGTATGAAATTTTTGTCTCATTTCTTCTTGTAATTTGAAATTGAACTGATATATCCTATGGTGTGGGGTCACATCCATTGCTTATCAACCTGCCAGGGTATGGAATAATTAAAGCTGGGTTATCATTAGTGAGCAGTAGCTCACAGTTTGAAGTCATCTAGGTATATACAATCAAGGGTAGTTCAGTTTGATAACATTTGTTTTAATCAATTTAAACAGTTGTACTTTTATCTAATATTTCAATTTGTAATTCAGTTAAATGCATTTGGTGAACTATAAAGTTTGGAATTTAGATAAATATTCAATTAAATTTTTGGAAAAAGCTAGTCTGCAGAAATATTTATACAAGCTGTTGATTATCTGATACGTTCAACAGTTATTGCTATTAAACTAAATAATCTATAGCTTATGCAATTTTCCCAGCCTACAAAGATGTGTTGTTATTAAAATGTCTTATCTTATACAACCTTTTCATTTAATCTAATGCTTGATATAGGTTTTAAATACTCAGTGAAAAGAAAATGTTAATGTTTTAAAGGTAGATTATAAAATATTTTCTTATTAAAATTACAATATAAATATGTTATTAATCAGTTAAAATTTTATTCTAAATACAAGTCCTCATACAACTTGTAAACTCTTAAATGCCAGAATTTGCAGTGAAACAATTTGGCATCAACATCCTTCACTGCAAACTTAAGATTCATATCATAAGAAGTGGGATTCAATACGTCTCACTCCAAACACTAGATTTTACAGAAAAAACTTTAACTCAATAGGCCTCCAAACACCAGTATAAGTATTGATACAGCTTGGCTTTGGAAGACCTTACTTCAAACACAAAATTTTGCAGTGGTTCAGCTTTGCCTTCATACAGTGAAACATCTTGGCCTTTGGAGGCCTCAATCCAAATACTAGAACTTACAGTAAAATTACTTGAATACACTCAAAATGTGAGGTCATGCAGGGAGACAAATTTGCCTTACTTTAAATACCTGAGCTTATTGTAATACAACTAACTATCTTCCTGAAAAAGGGAAGTTATAGTGAAACCACTCCATAAACAATATAGGACTCACAGTTAAACAAAATTGCCACATTCCAAATACAGTGTCTTGCAAAAGGACAAATTGGCCTTCCATTTATTACTATTCCCTACAATTGTACAACTTTGCCTTACTTTAAATACAAGAAACCCTGATACAACTCTGACTTGCTCTAAATATTCATTCTCACAGCCTTATGATTTGCCTTACTGTTAATATGCTTACTTATTTTAATTAAACTCTGAAAATTTCTGATACCTAGTACCCTAATTCTAGTCAAAAAACATGTGTTGTGCTGTTTTTATACGACAGCAAAAATTCGTACATTGGTATGACGTTGGCGTCGTCGTCGTCGTTGTCCGAAGACACATTGGTTTTCGCACAATAACTTTAGTTTAAGTGAAAGGATCTCTATGAAATTTTACCATAAGGTTCAATACCACAAAAGGAAGGTTGGGATTGATTTTGGGGTTATGGTACCAACAGTTAAGGAATTAGGGGCCAAAAAGGTGCAAAAAATAAGCATTTTTGTAACTTCCAGACAATAACCTGTGTTTAAGTGTATGGATCTCTCTGAAATTATACCACAAGTTTCCATACCACAAAGGGATGGTTAGGATTGGCTTTGAGGGGTTATGGCTCAAACCGTTTAGGAATTAGGGGCAAAAAAGGGGAAAAAACAAGGGTTTCCTGGTTAATGGACAATTTAAAAGCAGTGTAAGGGAGGTAATCAAAAAACAAAATTGTACAATGTTGTACAATGTTGGATTACCTCTCTAACAATTTTTTTTTTTTTTTTGGGGGGGGGGGGGGGGGGGGGGGGTGGGGTCGATATGAACAGCATAGTGTATTTCACAAAAGCAAAAAATTGAATATAAATTCAAATCATATAACCAATTCTAAGTTCTTTGACTACAGTTATTCGGTGTCAGAAACCTATTATGTGTCAAATATTTAATTACAATTCAAATTCAGACCTGTATCAAGTGCGAATATTGTTTCCATTTTCGCCCCAACTGTTCAGGGTTGGACCTCTGCGGTCATATCAAGCTGCGCTCAGCGAAGCATTTTATTGTATCAAATTTCATGAAATAAAGTAATACCAAATAATGATATACATAAAGAGATTGGGTCGATAAATTAATTGATTTTGTATTAAAACATATCCTCCTTCTCTGAGCTCTTAAAAGTAGCTATGGGGTGTTCCAATAAAATGTATATGGTACCCAGAGTAGGCACCCTCCCCCCTTCCCCCCCCCTCCCCCAAAAAAAAAGATCAGATTTCAAATTGCCTTCCTCACAGGTCCCATGTATGTATTTATGGAACAGCCCTTAAGAACCTGATAATTTTTTGTGGGAGAAGTTTTAAATATAATATATTTGTTATGATTGAGGGGTACAAGTGATTATTATATTTATGGCAGTATCAATATCTGTATTTACAGCAGTATTCCAGTGTACTAGTAAACAGTCTGGGTAGTTTAATGACTGATATCAAGACAGAAGCACAAGTATTAGTACTGAGGGTAAGATGAGTTGGTTTTCACACAATTTAAAAGGACGGTGTGATAATGGCCTAATTTGGCCTAACATTTTACCGGTACTTTAATTTTAATTTTTATTTATGATTTATATTGTCAACCAATGGATGTTTTTTGCTGTTTGTTTGTTTGGCCTAATTCTGAACATCTTCCAATCATAAATATTTTTTCTCATCTATTTCATCCTTCAATAAGTCAGTAGGTTTCATATTCATTTGTTAATGGAAATTTCCTAATATTTCATTAATGTTACAGCATTAAACTTTTTTATAACAATTAGTGTCATCTGAAAATCTGTAATTGTTTTGCATCACTTTAAAAATGTCAGTCAAGCAGAATCATCTGTTTTGATAGTTAATTTTCTTTGTAGGCACTTTGCCTGATAATGCTTGATTTAAGTATTCCTTTATTACCATTTACATGGCATGGCTCTATTCCTGAATTAATTAAGGTCAAGAGAACTTTATTTCCATGTGAAGAAGACAGTACATGTATAAGCAAGCTAATGAGAGGGGGTTCTTTAGTTGATGTCTCATTGATGTTTTTAGACATCACATTGATATTCCTGGTTATTTAAGTGATTATGTGATCAGTAGTGGGACAGATTTAGTGTTTTACATGTATGTGATCAGTAATGGGACAGATTTAGAGTTTATGTGATCAGTAGTGGGACAGATTTAGATTTGATGTGATCAGTAGTGGGACAGATTTAGATTTGATGTGATCAGTAGTGGGAAAGATTTAGATTTGATGTGATCAGTAGTGGGACAGATTTAGATTTGATGTGATCAGTAATGGGACAGATTTAGATTTGATGTGATCAGTAGTGGGACAGATTTAGAGTTGATGTGATCAGTAGTGGGACAGATTGAGAGTTGATGTGATCAGTAGTGGGACAGATTTAGAGTTGATGTGATCAGTAATGGGACAGATTGATAGTTGATGTGATCAGTAGTGGGACAGATTTAGAGTTGATGTGATCAGTAGTGGGACAGATTTAGAGTTGATGTGATCAGTAATGGGACAGATTCTTGTAATATCCTATATAAAGGTTGTTGAATTATCTTATATATTGAATATGTTTGTTATTTTATTGAAGGTGATTGAACTTGTGTTGAAAACATTCCCAAAAGAGGCTCCAGAGGCATTCTCTCCATTACTACCAAGTTTTATGAAAGCAGTACTAGAAAATGAGGTAATAAGAACACGAACCTAATTTTACAAATGAACAGAGTACTCTTACTGGGAGAAACAATTATATGTGAATATCAATATCACAACAAATGGTATATTTCACAATGATAATATGTATGTCTATAACAACAGAAAAATTCCTAAACCATTGATTTTTTCATCAACAGTGAACCTACTAAAACAAATTCTTTTATTGTGACAGATTTTACTAGATGCCATGTCACAGAGTACCTTGCATGTACACTTAAACACACCAATAAGATAAAGGTCAAATTTACTTCCTGGTTGAGGAAGTATTTCACACATTGATTTCATTTAATTTATTGCATATTGTAAATATTTATACATTTTATTTAAGATAACTGAATTTCTTTGGTCAAAGTCTATTTACCTGATTAGAAAAAAAAAGTCTTATTTATTTAATACAAAGAATGAACTTGAAAACTTTTTATCAAGATTTTTTTTTATATTAAGAGCATAAGGATTTTGGCATTTATTGATTATATATATATATTATATTGTTTAAATGAAAGGTAAAATTGAAAAGCAAACACTTTTAGTAAGGAATCAAGTTAAATATGTAAACTAAAGCTGAATCTTACGTGTCTATATATTATTCAAGTGTACCATTTTAAAAATATTTTAAAATGTTGTTTAATAGGTCAAGACACATTGTGACATTAATATGATTTTTTTTGCAGAACATTCTTGATTTGAATTTTTTAACTTGTTTAAGTTGTTAATAATATTCAGGATTTGAGTGAACTCACTTCATCAGTAGAAATATCAATAAATAGAATTTAAATACTACATTGTCCTGATAAGCCATTTTTTTTTATAAATCAACAAAAAATCAGAACATAATTGTCCAATTTCAAATAATGATTAATCAATATGTAAAAGATAGCTCAAAATAAAATAAAAAATATTGTTGAAATGGATTTTAATTTTATTATTTTTGTAGATTTGTACATATCAAATTAACTTTTTATGGTTAGCATGTTGAAAATTATTTGACATTTAACAGTAAACTTGTCTTTTTTATAAAAGATTTTACTTGAAAAAAGAGGTTTTTTGAGATATTGCTTTATGTTTTAGTTTTAACAGAATACCATATATTTAAATAATTTCAAGATAACTATTTGACAAACTTTGAACACTACAAGAATTTAATTTTTCAGGAACATCCATTGATTTTGTCTATGTACCTTACACTTCTTGCCAGAATTCTCCTACAGAACCAAGAATTTATGTTTAATTTTTTAAACCAAGTAGCAACAGATTTGAATAAAGATGTAAGTTTTAAGTAAGGGCTGTTCCAAATTTATCAGGTGGGGGGTCAGGAGGCACTCCAATTAATTATTAATTAATTTATTAAATGTGGGTGGTTGAAGAATTATAAGTAAAATGAAAATTCAAGTGTACCATTTCCAACCATGGTTGGGTCTTAAAATGTGCCTCCCATGCCTCCATTGTGCTTTATTCTGGAAAGTCCCTTAACAAAAATTGTATTATGGCTTTCATGAATTTGAACATGGATAACCTTTTGAAATTGACTTACCAATTTACATAATGATTGATTGATTTTAGGGCTGCAGATTGTCCAGTGGCAAATATTATGTGCATATTCAGTATGACTACATGTTAATTAGATATGACTTTCCCTTGATTTATATGGACTGATCAACTGATCAGATTTTTATCCAGTTCAAAAGATAACAGTCACCATAACTGGACACATTATTCTGTCTACAACTCAACCAGTCTTTGATAACTCCAAAATGCAGAATGCTTTTTGGAGAAGCAGCAAATACCAAATTGAAAATCTTGTAATAAAAATAACATTTTTTCAGAAGTGTATCTGAGATTCATTTTTATCTTAGACATGATGAAATATAAGGAGTGTTGTGAAAAAAACTAGCGTGTCTGTGGATTAAGGGGACGACATAGAGGGTGTGAGACCCCCCACCCTTTTACTTAGAGAAAATATAATTTTTTGCATAAAACTGTTAAATAAAATTGGCTATTTCACCCATTCAGGCTAACTTCACCCCTCCCCCTTTCTGGAAACCATGGGTCCGACCTTGTTTGCCTAGAAAATAGGTGGAGGTGTTACATGAAATTAATGATATGAAGGTAAATATGTCACAGCCAGTGGCAAATGTTTCATGAATATTCAAGTCAAGATGATATGTTAATGTGATATGAATATAAATCCTGACTTTGTACTTTGACCTACACACTAACTAGGAATTTTAAAATGCTAGTTCACATGGTACAGTCCCAAGGACGACATGTCACCCACACATTATTCTGACTCCCAAGTATAAAGCTACCAATCCTTGTTATAGCTCCAATTTCTACAGTACTTACTAATAATTGAAGTATGATCAGCAAAGATGCAGCAAATACCAATGTTTAAATCTTTGATTTGACCTAGCTTGATATAATACTTGACATCCTGCACTCAAACAAAAATGCTACAGTGAGGAAGTGTTACAAAAAATAATGTAAATTTATTGAAAATTTAAAATAGGAATAAGGAAGAGCAAAGGTGATTCTCAAACCACAAAAAAATTAGTACAGACATTTTATTTTCAAGATAATTTATTGAAAATTATTACTGAAATATAGTTTATTTTAATCTCTCTATACAAATAAGTTGAATAAAAGTATAAAGCTAACAAATGTCTTGTGGTAGTAGATGAGGAAATTCAATGATGATTTCATATCGTCTATAGATGTTATTTCTCATAAATTTTTCCCCATTATAGGGTATTCTCTCATTAAATATAACTTATAGTATTTTTTCTTTTGTTAAAAATGATTATGATATATTTTTTATTGTTTACAGAGTGAGAGTATTCTAGGAATGTTTTTGGACATATTGTCAGAGAAGATAGATAGTATTACACAACCAGAGAAACGGAAACTGTGTGCTTTATGTGTTACGTCTTTGTTATCGCTTAATTTAAAGTAAGTATCAATATTATAGCCTCTGTTAACTTTATCAACTTAACTTTTATAGATTTTTTGTGTCGTTAGGCTGTTGTCTCCTTGACTTAGACCAAACATTTCATTCATAATGTATTTAAGTGGTGATTTTCTTTTCAAAGTCAGGGCTTACAAGAAAGGATTTAATGAAGCCAGTACTATTTCGAATACCAGTCAAACCTTTTTTTTATTGCACAAGGGAAGACAAGTTTTCTGTTAATTCTGTGTTCCCTTTGAAGATGGAAGCCATATTGTTTTTCTTGTTCTCATGCAATTTTGTTGTTGCCATATCTTTTGTAGCTATTGCCATCACTTGGCATCAGTTGTCGTGCGTCGTGGTCGTAAACTTTTTTTTTTAAATTCTCCTCTGAAACTACTGAACCAATTTCAACCAAACTTGGATGGAATGATACGCATGGTATCTAATATAAAGTTTATGTTTTTTATTCCAGTCAGCCAACAAAAATGGCCACCATGTCTAAGTATAGAAACTGGTAAATAGATAGAAAATTCAAACAGCAAAATTGTTCAGCAAAGTCAGACCTTCAATTAAGTGGGCATGACCAAATTATTGTCAATTGATCCCTTATAGGAGTATAATTGCCTGTGAAAGATAATTTTTACCAATTTTTAAAATTTTTCACAGAAGCTATTAAAGATAGACAGAAACTGCAAAAGCAAAAATGTTCAGGAAAGTGAGAGCTACAGATAAGTCAACATGACAGAAAGTTTCAATTGATCCCTTATAGGAGTTACTGCCCTTGAAAGATAATTTTTTAGTTTCTTCGCAGAAACTATGATAGATAGACAGAAATTTCAAAGCAAAAATGTTCAGCAAAGTAAGAGCTACAAATAAGTCAACTTGACCGAAATTGTCAATTGAACCCTTATAGGAGTTAATGCCCTTGAAAGATAATTTTTACCAATTTTTTTAGTTTTTTGCAGAAACTATGATAGATAGAGAGAAATTTTGTGGGCAAAAAATGTTCAGCAAAGTAAGAGAGTCTCAGAGAGCTACAAATAAGTCAGCATGATCAAAATTGTCAATTGATCCCTTATACGTAGGAGATATTGCCCTTGAAAGATAATTTTTACCAAACTTTAGTTTTTGCAGAAACTGTGATAGATAGAGAGAAACTTTAAACAGTAAAACTGATCAGCAATGCAAGACCTACAAATAAGACAACTTGACTGAAAATGTCAATTGATTCCTTATAGGAGTTATTGCCCTTGAAAGATGATTTTCAGTTTTTTGCCAAAAGTATGATAGATAGAATCTTTAAAAGGCACTTTTAATTTAACACATTAATATACGTTAAAACAGCAAAATAATCATTGATGCAATATCTACACAAAGAGTTCCAGGTGAGCGATTCAGGCTCCCGGGAGCCTTTTATATCTCATGACATAGACATGGCATAAAGGGGTATAATATAAGACAGTTACATAACACCAGGAACTTCATGTGAACATGGCCTTTTGACATATTCTTGCCTAGGTTATAACATTTTTAGCCTTCGAGAATACCCTTTTGATATTAACTGGCTCCTGTATGCATCACCTGGAAGATATGTTGTGTACCATTGAAAATAACTTCTGATTTCGACCTTTGACTTGAAATTCAAAGTGTTTCTGGGACACTTCATTTTCATGTAAAAAATAACTTTTTTTTATCCTTTGACAATGACTTTGGACATTATAAATCTGTGTGTCCCTGGAGGTGAATTCCTCATCCTTTTATATCATATATTGATAAATATCTCAAAATCTGTTCATATCCCTACCCCTTAATGCAATATATTGTGATTTGTTATCAAAAGACTTTTCAAGTGCACCATAGGTTTTTTTCTCAATTTGTCTTGCCCCTTTTCTATAGATCAAGAGAATACTTTTGATTTAGTCCACTTAACACTTCTTCTAGCTTTTAGAGAATTTTTTTCAAAAGAAATATTTCTTGTATTCACTTATCATAAAAGTAATGATAATTTCTGATACATTTTTTGTTTTTTTATCTACATTCTGTGAAGCTTTTATGTTAAGAAAATAAAATTTCTCACATTCATGAAGATATTTGAAATTTCTCTTTGTATTACTTAGGGATAATTATATAAAAAAAAGTTTATAACAAGTATGAAGAAGACAAATTGCAATAACATGATGACAAATATGATCTTTAGACAATCTGTTTGATTGTATAGAAATCCACTGGATTAATTCAACTTCAAAATCAATAGCAATTATTACATCACAGAAAACAGTGATTACTTTCTGTGAAATTTTAAAAGTTTCGTCATTATTGATGAAAAGTTATAATTTAAAATGAGAGCAATGACTTTTAGTTAATGATGAATAATAGTTTCTTAAAAAAACAAAATCAAATGAAATTTTGCCAAAAAGATGTTTGCTCTTTGTATTAAAATACTTGTTAAAATTTTTGATTAGTGAAATAGATAATGTCTGCATGTAAAAGGTCAATAACATAAATTGCATTGTCTGCTATAAGTTCAAATGTGTCACTAGCACTGGAAAATACATGGGAAGTTATTTTAAAAGGGAATGTGTAGCAAAATGTAAAAAAAATAGTGCCTTTTCATGTATAAGAAATAAAACCAATAATACATAGCCCTGTTGTTTTCTAAGCTAAATTCTGCAATTTCAAGCATTCATAGCTATTTTGCCTTTAGTTTAAATAAATTGACAGTCATTTAAGATCAAAACTATACCTTATCCTGGCTTGTGCTTAAAAATTGAACATACCTTTTATTGCATATAAACGTGCACTGGTTTCCAGAAGTTTGGTACATTTAGTACAAAAACCCGGTACTTCTAATCTGATAGATAGGCAAAATATGCCCTTCAATTTCAATTTCATGAAATTTTTATATGTCCGTTTACGGGACGTATTATGGTATACCGTTGACCGTCTGTCCGTCCGTCTGTCCGTCTGTCCGTCCGTCATCAACATGTCGGACATTAATTCAAAAACGCTTTAACCAATATGCATGAAACTTTGGTGAATTGTTTATATCTATTGACGTGAGCTCCCTTTCGTTTTTTATGAATCTTAGATTTACTATTTCTGAGTTTTGGGGTTTTATTCATTAAAAAAGGTGGGATTTTTCAGTTTTCAGACAATAACTCAAAAACAATTTCACCAATTTGCATGAAACTTTTGTGAATTGTTCATATCTATTGACGTGAGCTTTCTTTCGTTTTTTATGAATCTTAGATTTACTATTTCTGAGTTTTGGGGTTTTATTCATTAAAAAAGGCGGGATTTTTCAGTTTTCAGACAATAACTCAAAAACAATTTCACCAATTTGCATGAAACTTTTGTGAATTGTTCATATCTATTGACGTGAGCTCCCTTTAGTTTTTTATAAATTTCGGATTTACCATTTCCGAGTTTTTGGGTTTTATTCATTAAAAAAGGGGGGATTTTCAAGTTTTCAGACAATAACTCAAAAACAATTTCACCAATTTACAAGAAACTTTGGTGAATTGATGATTTCTATCAACATGAGCTCCCTTTTGATTTTTATAAATTTCAGACTATATGTTTCCGATTTATGGGGTTTTATTCATTACAGAAAGGGGGGATTTTCCAGTTTTCGGACAATAACTCAAAAATGCTTTCAGCATTTTTTATGAAACTTTGGTAAATTGTTTATATCCATTTTTGTAAGCTCCCTTTTGATTTTTATAAATTTTCGATTTTACGTTTCCGAGTTATAAGATTTTATTTGTTTATAGTCTGACAACAGATTTACTATGTATTGCGCAACAGCACAGTGTATTGCACAACAGCAAGAAATCTTTCATAAAACCAATTTCAAGTTCTTTGACTACATTTATTCAGAAACCTATAATATATCCAATATTTAATTACAATCCAAATTCAGACCTGTATCAAGCTTGAATATTGTGTCCATTTTTGCCCCAACTGTTCAGGGTTGGACCTCTGCGGGCGTATCCAGCTGCGCTCAGTGAAGCAGTTTATTTTTAATATTCAGAAGAATCTTTCAATAATTACTCTACAGTTATCCCAAGTCCTTTGTTCGATACCAAAATTACCCAAATATATTACTTATTTACAAAGTTACAGCTATGCATCAGAACTGTATTGTTTAAAATACCAGTATGTGCTACTTTTCTTGATCATGCCCAAATTACTAGTTTTATACTATAACTTGATTCAAGTCAGCAAAGTAATGCAATCAGCACTTTTTGTCATGGTTTCAAGCAATTTTCAATACATGCAGATAAAGTCTCTCAGGTCATAAGTCAGGTTTAATTGATTTATAGATGCTCACAAAGAGGAAATTTGACTGCAGTTCCATTACCATATAATTAATATTTTACAGTGTTATTAAAGAAAAGTTTTGTGCAATTATGTGTTTATGTGTGGAAGTATTACATGATGTGACCAGAATTCCTGTGGACGAAGATCCTACAATACAATTAGAGTATGTATTTATTTACAAGGGTCTAGGGGGCTAGGGGGGGGGGGGGGGGGTCATTCATTTCTTTATTCTTTAATTTTTTAGACAAATTTTCTATATTCTTTATCTATTTAAAGATAAGAATGGACAAACAGACAGCAACCTGACCAAAGAGCAGAAAACACCCGAAGGCCCATAATTTTCTATTTTTACCCCCATTCTTCTGTACATAATTTTATTTTTGGGCCTAGTTTTCTCTATTTCTTTTTATTTTTTAAGCCCTCTATACTGCACTTTTTGCCCATTATTCTCTATTTCGTAAACCCTATCCAGACTCTCATTTAGTAATGTAAATTCAAATGTTATTGCGAAAATTTCAACGGGGCTATATATTTTTTGCGCATTTGTGTCTATTGTTCAACAATCACAATAATAAATGCACACAAAGATTTCTGAATTTACAGTATTCTTATACCACACTTTTCTTTCGCCTTGTAAGCAAAGCCATGTTCTTATTCCAATAGAACATTGGGTGCACAAAGTCATGCAGTATGTCACAATTAAAATTACAACATCAGTTGTATTTTGAACAAAACCAAAGAACAAAATGGACATTTTTGTTCATGTTGCTTGCTAGGAAATTAAATAAAATTAATCTGATAGTAAGTTTATGTGTATCTGTTCACTTTTCAAATGTGAAACCATTGTTTTTAATGTTTCATCAAATGAATTTTGCAGCCTTTTGAATGTGTATTATGTCCCCTCCAAAGTACAAAAGTTCTTAATTTTCCTTTTAGAATCGAAATTATTCTTTATATTGACACCAATGTTAAAATGAGCATAGATCGTGGAATGGCATTTGTTGATTAATCAAATGGAAATATATTCTATTTTCAATCATACTGTCGTTTGATGGGGCAATGGTTTTTTATTGCCTCGCCACGAAATGGTCGGGCCATATAGTTTTACCCTTGTCTGTCATTCTGTAAGGAACAATATAAGGACTTCGCATATTGAGCTAATTTTTAGTATGTGAGTACTATGATGAGTTACAGATCAAGTTTACATTTGGTTCCGCTCCACTTATTTTTGCCGAAATTAGGGGCTTAAGAAAATTTCATGAAAATAAAACAGTTTTAGATTTTTTTTCTAAACGCCTTCACATATGTTGAGCTTCAAGCTTTTTTCCCGAGGGGACCATGTGTGTCGTTCCGACACATCTCGTTTTTCTATTTTGTCATACCTTTACAATAAACTCATGAATGGATGTAGTTACCTATCTATTATTCTGGCTCTAGCATCTTTTATGCAAAACAGAGGCTACCATTTACAAGATCCAATATTCATTAAATATCAAACAATGGTTCACTATGAGGTTATGTCCATTATATATTGATGTCACAGAGCGCAGGTGAATGACATCTGCATGTGCTTTCCACTATGGAGTTCAAACCAATATTCTGCAGACTACTTCCTGTGTGATTGATGAGTCATTTCAGGTCAATTACTAGATCTAAACCAATCAGTTACTGTTTCATAATAGGGAACGACCATTTAATTTCAAGGGTGGTTATGGTTTTTTCTTAAAAAAATATTCTGTTCCCCAATTTGATGAAAAAAATATTGTGGTCAAGCAGATGACAAAAAAAAATATTCTGAATCCAGATTTTCCGCTTACCTTATAGTGTTAAATTTTGAAAAAAAATAATTTGATTGATAGCTTCAAAAAAACAAAGTAAAAATTTCTGACTCAGACAAAAAACCATAACCCCGCCCTTGAAGTTAAATGGTTGCTCCCTTACTGTTTGTTTGGTACAGTTGGTTCAAACTGCATGATGGGAAACACCACTGATATCAAAATGCAAGTGAATACTCCTCTTTTGGGTGCTTTTTTTATACAAATGGGAGAATATTTTCTGAAAGATCTGTTTTATTCTCATTTATTTAAATTTTCTTATAATGATTCAGCAACTTTCATTTTAAGTTTTCCTTTATTGAAATCTTCCATCTGAAGAATATACAGGATATTTAGAAAGGGAATGATTTACAAATAAACACTTATCTCAAAGGAAATGAAACCTTTCATTAGAATCAGTTGGTGTTGGTCAGGGTATTTAAATTGTTGGCAGGGGAACTGTTCCTTTGAATATATACAATAGCTAATGTCCTCTGTGGAGATCATTCAATGGGAATTTATTTTTTTTCCTTGAAAAGCCAATCATTTATTGATTCTTTTGCTGTACAAAAAAGATTTAAATCTTAGTGATGAAAATACATGTACCAATTCTGAAGGACACAAATTATCAGAGCAAGAGATAATAATTACAAATTTATGTCAACTTTAGAATACATTTCATTTTATTTGATCAATACATGTATTCTGAATACATGTAGGCGTATTATTTTTTGTGCATATTCTTAACTCATTAACACAATATATCTTCATTAAAAGGAAATATCTGATAAGTTTATTAATTTGGATTTTTTCCCCCAATTCTATGCAGTTGATTGATATTACATGTACATATAGAATAAATTTATGATGACCTTATGATTTTTGCGTCAATTAATTCATTGCCATATTCATGATTTTATAGGTCAAACACGATAAAAAAAAAATCAAGTAGGAACATAACCAAATTTTATGTCAAAAATTCATTTTTTCTCTTCAAATGAGGGTTAGTGAACCCATTCAAAAATAAAACTTTAAATCAAATTATGAGAAAAAGCTGTAGATAATTTATTTTAAATGGTGCATATTTCAAATGAATTATATCAGTTTATTTTGGTTTTATAGTGATAACATTTGAGACTGGTTTAGCGGTGTAGTAAACATCTCCTTCATACTATTAAGTAACCCCCAAACAACAGATGATATTACAGTATCAATGAATAAGTACAACACCAGAGGGAGTTTTGTATTTCATTATTCAGTATTGGTACAAGTATTTTCATCACTAGGAGTTTAATTTTTTGTACAAAAAAATTAATTAATGAATGATTATTTTTTTTCAAGGAGAAATTTATTAAAGTTTTTATTGAATGAACTCCACAGAGGACAATAGCTATTGGATTCATTCAATGGGACAGTTCACCTTCCAAAAATTAAAAATACCCAGCCTGACCTTCATGATAGGTCTTATTTCAACATTTTTTTTTTCATGGGGTTAGTATGTTGATTTACCTTAGTAGGGAAAAAAAGCAGTTTCTGACCTTTTAGATAAAAAAAAAAGCATATTCTCCTTTCTCTAGACAATCAATTTCCATCCACTTTGCAGCAGGGAAATAATTTGTGTTTCAATTTCCATCCACTTTGCAGCAGGGAAATAATTTGTGTTTCAATTTCCATCCACTTTGCAGCAGGGAAATAATTTATGTTTCAATTTCCATCCACTTTGCAGCAGGGAAATAGTTTGACTATACAACTAAACCATGTCATCAGTGTACTAAAGTCTACTTTTAGTAAATCTATTTACTGTGGATTCATTGGTTTTTGTTTGATACCAATTTTCATTGAATTCGTGGATATAGGTAAATAACAGCTTTAAATGTTCAACAATGTTCAATTTATATAAAAGATTGTAAGGAGACTTTTGCAAAATCCAAAATTCTAATATAATACATGTATATATAAATCTTTGTCAATCCACGAAAATTGGTATCCATGAAAATAAATTAATGCATTTTATAACATTTTTAGTTCCCTTGTGATACATGATGATGGTGCAGATGATGATAACGAGTATTATTGTGGAAATGAAGCTACAGATCAGATAACAGAACATGACAGAAGAAAAACTAAGGTAGCTAAAGATACTGAAAGCCAATTTAATGTAGTAACAAACAATGAATAAAAGGATTGAAGAGAAAAATTAAGAGGGGGTAGGAAGGGGTCTTATCCCGAATTCTAGAGAAAATAATGGCTTTTCTGGATACCTGTGAAAATGATGTGTCCATTCCTTCACCACAGTATGATTAAATTTGGCTATTTGGAAACTCCTGCGAATTAAATGGCTCAATCCAGACTTCCTGAAAAAAGGTCATCCAACCCTCAATTAAGGTTAACTGAAAATCAGTTAAAGGAAATAAATGTTTGATGCGTATTAAACAGAACAAAGTATGTTGAAAACAAAGTTTATGTTGAATAAAATAAGTATTTGAAAAAAACAAATGTAGTAGCTTCTCAGATAGCAGAAAATAATGCAAAATGGACAAACAACAGTACACAAAACACAACATAGATTAAATGCTCTGCAGGGCACAGCTTGATACGACCGCAGAGGACGAAACCCTGAACAGTTGGGGCAAGTATGAACACAACATTCAAGCTTGATTCAGCTTTGAATTAGGATTGTGATTAAATAATTGACACAGCATAGGTTTCTTACACAGAATGAATGTGGTTTAAGAACTTAAAAATTTGAAATTGGACATTTACCTTATTATGTTCGAATATCCAAAATATAAATACATGGTTAGATTCAGAATATCAAAGAACCCAAAGAATTCAATTTTTGATGAAATCAAACAAAAGTTTAATTTTAGACCTTATGGACCTCAATGTGGACCAATTTGAAAAGGGGGTCCAAAATCCAAAATCTAAATACATGGTTAGATTCAGCATATCAAAGAAACCAAAGAATTCAATTTTTGTTAATATCAAAGTTTAATTTTTGACCCGATTTGGACCAACTTGAAAACTGGGCCCAAAATCAAAAATGTAAATAGATGCTTAGATTCAGCATATCAAAGAACCCCAAGAATTTAACTTTGTTTAAATCAAACAAAGTTTAATTTTGGACCCTTTGAACCTTAATGTGAACCAATTTGAAAAAGGGTCCCCAGATTAAAAATCCAAATACACAGTAAGATTTTGCATATCAAAGAACCCCCATAATTCAATTTTTGATGAAATCAAAGTTTATTTTTGGACCCCCACCAAAAAATGGGGGTGATCTCATGTGCTTCGGAAGGGTAAGCAGATCCTGCTCCACATGTGGCACTCATGGTGTTGCTCATGTAAATGCAATTATGTTGATAAGTCTAATTCAGTAGGTCACACTAGGGGAAAAGGGGACAGGATTGTAGTATGACAATTGGAACATATCTGTTGTCATCTGAAACAGATATTCCATAACAGTCAACCAACTAGTGATGACATCCATGAAATTTACGAAGGGATGATTTAAGTTTCACCACTTGGAACTCTTGGTTTATAGCTTCAATGTTAGCAGCAACCCTCTATCAAGGAAATCATGATAAGAAATACAAGCCCTGTAATTTATATTTTCACATTTTTCCTACCAATACAATGAGATATGACTTTAATAATAAGCTGGTGGTTTGCTCACAAAACCCTTGAAATTTAGCCTCAAACAATAAAATCCTTAGACACTTTAATCAATGTACATGATGTACTTTTAAAATTACCATTGAAAAGCTATTTTAAAAGTACATTCTTATGTGTAGTCACTAGAGTTACAAATCATTCAATGTCTGAAGAAATCCCTATTGCTAATTTTCAAAGCATGTTTCACAGACTGGTTCACTGTATTTTTTCAGTTATCAAAGAAGGATCCAGTACATACCATCGCTCTGCGAGAATATTTACTCTCTCAACTCAGAGCCTGTCAGCTATTACATGGACAAAGTGTTTTTAATGAAATGATGGATTCAGTCGACTCAGAAATTGTTCACCAACTACAAGAATTTACTCATAAGAAATAATGTATTATCAAGGATGATAGTTAAGCATGTGGACTTTGCTGTATTTATTAGAACCATTAAAATATACCATGTTCTTTCATAAAATAGCTAAGATCCTATTTCTGTAGAATGACACCACTCAACCTCTTAAGGACAACATTTGGATAATACCAGAAAGTTTAAAAAAAAAAAAGACTGTTTTCATTAACCAGACAGCTGTTATGGGTTTAATTAGTTCAAACTGAAGAACTGTTCATGTCGGTACAACAATACATGTCATGTGAAGCATAGATCTGCCTGCTATTTCAGTCACGTAGATGGTATTACCTATAAAATTTATGGGGTAACAAATGCATTGAAACAACTCCTAATAATAGCAAATACATGTAATTTTCAAGTTATCAATGTAAAATCATTAAAACATCAATGAATTGTGTCATAGTTTAAATTTACACTCATCTTAAGTATTTAACTAGGACTTCAAAGCTTAAATGTGTTGACTTGTCATCGCCAAGCTTTGTTTGCTCAATATTGTACCAGCTGTTTACCGAATCAAATACATGTGTATTGGTGCAAGTTATATGAAATAAAGTATTAAAACAAACTGCTTAATATTTTGTTGTCTACTTCAATATTGAATCTTGTTAAATTGTTTTGTATGGAAATGATAGAAGTGTGCCTTGACTGGGAGTTTATCACTGTTTCCTGTAGAACACAATCAAAAATTTAAACAAATTACTGTACAATTTGTATCATAAAAGCAAATTTTTCAGTTGGTGAGAAATTTTAGATTATTGTTCAGGCTAGGGTCACAATAAAGTTGCTCGAGTTGCAATACAGTTATCAGTATCCAATTAGGTCTGACATATAATGTTGCTAATGCTAGGGTTACAATAAATTTATCAGTATCCCGTTAGGTCTGAAATCTAATATTGCTCAGGTTAGGGTTACAATAAAGTTACCAGTGTCCCATTAGGTCTGAAATCTAATGCCTGTATGATAATGACATATAGATAAATACTACACTAATTTAGCTAATGTATAGCAGTACTGTTTCATAAAGAGTTGATTGGTAATTTTTTTATTATGCCCCCGACGTAGCGGAGGGGGCATTAAGTTTTACCCTTGTCCGTCTGTATGTACGTACGTCCGTACGTCCCAAAATTGGTTTCCTTTCTCTAACTTGAGTTTGCCTCAACCAAATGTTATAAAACTTATACACAATGCTTATTACAACAAAATACAGATCAAGTTTGAATTTTGGTAGTATCATTGTAACCGTTCTAGAGTTATGCCCCTTTATAAATGGAAAAATTGCAAAATTTTTAGTTTCCGTTCTCTAACTTAAGTTTGCTTTAACCAAATGTTATGAAACTTATACACAATGCATATTACCACAAAATAAAGATCAAGTTAGAATTTTGGTGGGGTGACTTTAACCATTCTCGAGTTATGCCCCTTTATAAATGGAAAAAAAATGCAAAATTTTATGTTTCTGTTCTCTAACTTAAGTTGCCTCAACCAAATGTTATGAAACTTATACACAATGCTTTTTACCACAAAACACAGATCAAGTTGAATTTTGGTGGCGTCACTTTAATCATTATTGAGTTATGCCTTTTTGAGTTTTATTTATAAAATTGTGATTTTTTTACATTAGTGTCATTAATCTGAAAATAGTATCTCCTTTAAAGAAAAGAGGAATTCTTTTCTTTCTCTTTTCAAAAAAATATATCTTTCACTGATATGTGTGTTAAATTAGTTTCAGTGGGATATTATACATTTTTTCCCTCGTCTTAGTGAGATATGAAGATTTGTTCACCAAGAAAATTCATATTTCTCAAGGGCAATGCCTGAGGGAAATATTGCTTTCGAAGATGAACAAATCTTCATATCTTACTAAGACAAGGGAAATAAATGTATAGTAGGCAAGAGTAATGAATGATTTATTAGGTGAGGGTGTGTCATAATGTTTGTACAACTTCCTAGGTCAAAGCTCAAGGTCAGCAGGCCCACAGAAATGGCTCCCATCTCAATAATGTCTAGTTACACTACTTTCTTTAACTTCCAGAAAAATACATCATGCTGCAATTTCTCCTTGATTTAAGAATTACATGACACAAGGACGTATAACTAACATACGTCCTTGCATGACATGATAAGTATATATCAAAACACATGTAATTAATTATTTATTACATGTCATACTTATTTGTTAAAGCAAAATATTGACAATGATTTAGCTTTGTAAAAAGGGTTAAACATTATGTAAACAGTGTGTTACGTCGTATGAAGGAGAATCAATGTTCAGGGGGGAGTACAATGTTTTGTTCTTTCACTAACCAATCAAATATTAATTAAGTTATCAATATTTACAAAGGTGAAGTGATATTTTGATGTTTTGCTTTTGAACAGGCATTAAAGGTTCATTTAAGCATAATTAAAAACATAAAAATAAGAAGATGTGGTATGATTGTTAATGAGACAACTATCCACTAGAGACCAAATGACGTAGATGTTAGCAATATTGTGCAAAACCTTCCTGCATCACATGATATGAAAGGTTTTACCATGACAAAATGTAAAAACAATTTTTTGTACAAAACAACAAAAAATATGATATACAACATTCTTTAATTCAAATTACAAAATGATTGTATAAGCATACTTTACCAGAAAACCATTTTATTAAAAAAAATACACAAGACATGGTGTATGAATCTGTCAGTTCTAAAAATAGGTTTTCGTACAAATGTACAATTATGAATAAAGGATTAGGAAGATAAATGCAATTCAAAATATTTCTGAAATGTGCTAAATACAATGATTATGTTTAAGTTCACATTGCAAAATGAAAGTAATCTGTCTGTCTGAAATGGTTCATAGAAACTCTACCTCATTTTTATACAACCGCAAAAAAATTTTTGAAAAATTTTGCGGTCGTATATTGGTATGACGTTGGCGTCGTCTTCGTCTTCCTCCGAAGACACATTGGTTTTCGATTCTAACTTTAGTTTAAGTGAATGGATCTCTATGAAATTTTACCACAAGGTTCAATACCACAAAAGGAAGGTTGGGATTGATTTTGGGGGTTATGGTACCAATATTTAAGGAATTAGGGGCCAAAAATAAGCATTTTTGTAACTTCCGGGCATAACTTGTGTGTTAGTGTATGGATCTCTCTGACATTGTACCACAAGGTTCCATATCACAAAGGGAATGCTGGGATTGATTTTGGGGGTAATTGCCTCAAAATTTAGGAATTAGGGGCAAATAAAGCGGCAAAAAACAAGCATTTTTCTAGTTTCATGACAATAACTTGTGTGTAAGTCTATGGATCTTTCTGAAATTGTACTACAAGGTTCCATATCACAAAGGGAAAGCTGGAATTGAGTTTGGGGGTAATTGCCCAAAACGTTAAGAATAAGGGGCCAAAAAGGGGCAAAAAATAAGCATTTTTCTAGTTTCCAGACAATAACTTGTGTTCAAGTGTATGGATCTCTCTGAAATTGTACTGCAAGGTTCCATATGACAAAGGGAAGGCTGGGATTGATTTTGGGGGTAATTGCCTCAAAATTTTAGGAATTAGGGGCCAATAAGGGGCAAAAAACAAGCATTTTTCTAGTTTCATGACAATAACTTGTGTGTAAGTCTATGGATCTTTCTGAAATTGTACTACAAGGTTCCATATCACAAAGGGAAAGCTGGAATTGAGTTTGGGGGTAATTGCCCAAAACGTTTAGGAATAAGGGGCCAAAAACAAACATTTTTCTAGTTTCCAGACAATAAATTGTGTTCAAGTGTATGGATCTCTCTGAAATTGTACTGCAAGGTACCATACCACAAAGGGAAGGCTGGGATTGATTTTGGGGGTAATTGCCTCATAATTTAGGAATTATGGACCAAAAAAGGGCAAAAAACAAGCATTTTTCTAGTTTCAGGACAATAACTTGTGTGTAAGTGTATGGATCTTTATGAAATTGTACTACAAGGTTCCATATCACAAAGGGAAAGCTGGGTTTGAGTTTGGGGGTAATTGCCCTAAATGTTTAGGAATTTGGGGCAAAAAAGGGGCCAAAAAAACAAGCATTTTTCTGGTTTCAAGACAATAACTTGTGTTCAAGTGTATGGATCTCTCTGAAATTGTACTGCAAGGTACCATACCACAAAGGGAAGGCTGGGATTGAGTTTGGGGGTGATGAATCATAAGGGGGTTCAAAAAATTGGGGGGGGGGGATTTTTTTTTCCTTTTTTTTCTTTAAAATTTTCCATTTTAAATTGGTTATTTCTGATTTATATATAAAAGCAAATAATAATGATATGGTTTGAATAGGTAAATTAAAATTTTTTTTAAGTTCTTAGACCACATTCATTCTGTGTCAGAAACCTATGCTGTGTCAAATATTTAATCACAATCCAAATTCAGTGCTGTATCAAGCTTGAATGTTGTGTCCATACTTGCCCCAACTGTTCAGGGTTCGACCTCTGCGGTCGTATCAAGCTGTGCCCAGCGGAGCATTTAATTTATTATCAGATTTTTATTATTGTTTTTGGAAAGATGGAACTTCTGTCCAATTTTTTTCCACTAGCCTCCCAAACAGGAAATGGCCATATTAGCTACTAAATCAGTACACACTGAAATATAGTTCCTAATGATTATCATGTCTGCACATATAAAGTGTGAAAACTGGGTTAAATCTTCAGATCAGTTCATTCATGTATGTATATATAAATAAGGAGATGAGGTATGATTGCCAATGAGACAACTATCCACCAAAGTTCAAATGAAGTTGATGTAAGCTATTATAGGCAACCGTACGGCCTTCAACAATGAGAAAAACCCATGCCTTATGGTCTCCTACGCCACTGAACTACAGGCTCATGACTTGGGACAGGCACATTAAGAATATGGCGGGGTTAAATATTTTTCTGAGCGCTCAACCCTCTCCCTAACCTGGGACAGTGGTGTAACAGTACAACATAAGAACAAACTATAAAAATCAGTTGGAAAAGGCTTAACTCATCAGATGGATACAAATAGAAATACATCTAACAAAAACACAGAGTGGACATATGTTTAGTCTTGTCAATTTCCTGGCTAGTTTGGTCCTTTTAAATTTTATTAGGTAATACCAGTATTGTTGACAACTGTCATGATCAACAAACAATCAGGGACTAGGTTGAAACTTAATTGGAATGTCCCACCCCTCAAATGCCAGTTATATTGACCAAATTACTCATCAACTTCAGTTTTACATAATTAAGACACTTTTTTACACAACACAATACACAATTCTTTATCTCAATAAATGAATATACAAATTGGTGCCATGTCCTACAAGGACAATTAATAAACTTTATCACAAGAATCTTTATTTGGTAAGAACTTCTGTTTCTATAGATATAAAACGTAAAACATAAAACAGGGAACATTATTTGATTAAAATATGAAATTGCAATTTAAACAAATTTGTTATGCAAATTAAGGGACCCATTGTCATCGACTCACATTTAGCTCATTGTATTCACTGAAAAAATACTTATCTACCTGAGAATTGATGTAAATGCAACTGTCTTGTCTGCAATAGTGCTATATCAATTATCAAG